AAAAAAAAAAAAAAAAAAAAAAAAAAAAAAAAAAAAAAAAAAAAAAAAAAAATTAAATATGCAAACGTGTCGCATTGACAAAAAAGTAATGGAGCAAAAATTTACCTGACGTGTAAGTTGTTAGAATATCGTTTAGAGCATATGTGCGTTATATGTTACACACCAAAAACTGCGTATTGTTGTTTATCAAAGCTTGTAATTGGAATCGGGAGCGTTGCGGCAAGAAAAATACGTGTAGTATACATATATGTAAGTACAGCGGGACATTTGCTCGAATGTTCACATAAGGGTGCCATACAACTATATATATATAAATTACATTCACATACATAGTATGTATACATAAAGTATAAAGTAATATATATATATACATGATACGATGAGAGGAGAAATATTATTTTTGTCCGAAGAGAAGAGAATTATTTAGCAAACACGTCGTTGGATCGGCAATTTTTTAATACTTTTCTTGCCGATGATTATGCGTAAGGTTTAGTCTGAGGCGCGTGCAGATTCGATAACTGAAATCGCTTTGATTTGGCTCGAACATTTATGAAAAAAAAAAAAAAAAAAAAAATTAGAATGATCGGCAGAAAGGTATTAAAAAAACAAAAAAACTTCGTGTATGGGTACCTTTACCAGTACAACGCGGATCACTAAGAATTTCCGCTGCGCATGCGACAGGATTATCCGGAGGTGTTTTAACAAAAAATCCCTGTGAAGAATTTTGTTGTCACGAACCAATTAACTAAACACTATTCAACAAAAACAAACAATTTTTTTCCCGCAGAGTGTGAATCTCTCGACAATAAGCAGGTGTGATAAGCTGGCAATTACACAAGAGACAAAAAAATCTATATATATTTAATATATTACACATACTATACTCTCATGCCACATAAAGTTATGTTGAAAGAAACACTCGTTAACTCTTAACTCAATATATATATACTGAATACATAATTATTTTTTATTATATCAAAAAGAGAAGAAAAGTTTAGTTTGGATGGAGAAAAAAATAAAACTTTATCCAAAGAGTCTATCTATAAATAAATCGATTTTCCGAATGAAAATAACAACAACAACAATAAAACTTTGAAAGAGAGAGAGATAATTATTATAAAAAGTGTACAGATGTAAAGCTGAATTGTAAGAGATACCATTAAAACCCCAGAGCGTAAAATATATTATTACCATGTACGTGACCGACCACATGCGTATATAAATATGCACACAGTTTGTACAGAGATGAGATATATAAATATATATATAGCACGTGAAGAGATAACAAGCCGAACGAGAAATAGAATATATAACGTAATATATGGATTATTTTTGTTTCGAAGATTCGATTTTAATGCTCACGGAGACAGAAAAGAGAGAAACACTCGTTGATTACCCGTGTGTTCACTTGTAAGAAAACTGTAAACACGGAAAAAAAATATTTCATCGCTCGACATTTCACTCACGTGTACACAGCAAATGCTTATATGTAAAAAAAAAAAAGAAACAAAAGCACGTGCCCCGAAGTACGACCGCAGCGCTAAAAAGTACATGATAAGCAGAGCAAGATAATTATAAAAATTAATAGAAAAAAAAAAAAAAAAGAGAGAGAGACAACCACATTTTATGTACAAAAAATTTAACAAGAAACTACTGTATGTGTGTGTGGATATGTGCATGCATAATATATTATTATTTACAAACGAATGCACGTGCGTGGGTATGAAAAGTTTCGAAGATAAAAACCCGAAAATTTCATGGTTTCAAATGATTATTGAGACAACGGGCTCTCCGTGAATATACAAATGCACGTGCATGCGTCAAACGCATATTGTTATTGTAAAATTAAAGAAATACAACAAACGTTATCAATTTAATACTACATAAATACACTTAAACACCGTGCGATCTTAATATAAATTATATGTGTGGAGCGAAGTGTGAGGGCAAAGGGAGAAAAATAACTGTATACGTGAAGATGAATAGAATGGAAAACATGTATGCATCATAAAGAAGGGGATGAAAAGAAAGATGGATATAAATAACGTAAACGAAAAATAAAAAATCTATTGTGCAAGAGCGCAAATTGCTTGGGAAAAGTTATGATATAATATGGTACGATGACGCCAACTTCATGCGTCAGAAGACGTAGCAGCGTTTATATGTTAGTTAAAAAAAAAAAAAAAAAAAAAAAAATGATATGATATACATACATACAAAAAAAAAAATCAAGAAAACATGAACAGTCAATATGCCGTGTATATTATATTCGTTACATTATATTCTCAGAAGCGTAGAGCGACGAGATTGTTAATTATTCGAAGCGATGACAGTTTTTTCGAAAAAAGTGTAACACACGATTATTATTAATACAAAAAAAAACATACATACATATATATACATAAAGTTTATTCCTCGAGGGGTTGTGCGTGAAAAAAAAAAAAAAAAAACGGATCAAGAGTGCGCAATACGGCTTAGTACTGATAAAATACAAATGATTAAAACAAACTCATGATTATGAAAACGACGAGTGAAGAGTTTAGAAGATTCGTAACGGACGATGCGTATATTTAATGTGTATAAGAAATGAAGATGAAAAAAAAAATATATATATATATAAAAAACATGCAAAAATATTTTCAGCCTCTTTTTTTATTTTCCCAGCATTACGTTTCCAATTTCGAGTGCATTAGTGGTAATCTTTACAGCATTTGAATTTTCAACATCGTTGATGCCGCCTAAAGGGAAAAGTAAGCGTTTTGGAGGAAAAAAAAAATTTCCTCGAAATTTTTCAAGAGCACATCGATATTCAGCTTTGGAAAAATGCTCCATTTATGTATAACATGAAAAATTTATCACTGTATGCAAAAAACACATCTCTAAAAAAAAAAAAAAAAAAAAAAAAAAACATGCACCCTATTGTAGCCGAGGGAAAAAAAGACTAACTTGGGGGAAAAAATCGTTTATTCCAGGTACTGTCTATGAGCGAGGAGCTGAGGCGAGCGCTTTACCACAACAACAGCGCGGTATCGCTGGATTCGGAGATCATAGTGCCGGATCTGGTGGGCGCGACCGAGATACTGAGCGACGAGCACAGGGAACAGCTCTGCCGGCACCTACCGGCGAGGGCCGAGGGTTACCTGTGGACCCTCGTCTTCAGCACCAGCCAGAACGGCTTCAGTCTCAACAGCATGTACAGGAAAATGAGCAAAGTCGAGAGCCCCATTCTCCTCGTCATCGAGGATACAGAGGGCAACGTGAGTTTTTTTCGCCTCCCCTCCCCCCCTTTTTTTGTTTGTTTGAAATTTACAAAATTGATAAATTTTAATTCGTAATGTTTGCAGGTTTTTGGAGCCCTGACCTCGTGTTCGCTGCGCGTCAGTGACCACTTCTACGGCACGGGGGAGTCGCTACTCTTTAGGTTCACGCCGAGGTTCCAAGCCTTCAACTGGACCGGCGACAACCTCTACTTTATCAAAGGCAACAACGAGAGCCTCGCCATTGGAGCCGGAGAGTAAGTCTAATTTCTGAAAGAGACAAGGCGGGTATTTTTCTCCGGTATGGCTAACATCCTTGTTTTGTCTTGAAAAACAGTGGCAAGTTCGGACTGTGGCTAGACGGTGACCTTTACCAGGGTAGAACCCAGTCGTGCAGTACCTACGGCAACGAGCCACTGGCGCCGCACGAGGACTTTGTGGTCAAGACGCTCGAGTGCTGGGCGTTCATATAGGACACGGCCCCCTTCCAGCAGGTCGTAGCTCTCGCTTCGTCCCCGCTGTCGAAAACGTCAAGTCCGACGCCGCCGTCGTCGGCAACCCTGATGCAGACCCAGTCGAGTCTCACCTGAATCGTTGGACCTCCATGTTAAGCCTCGGGAGGGGACCGTTGTTGTTGTCACGCGCGCCGCGCTCGCTCTCCACCTGTTGAATACACATACATGGAATCACACAGCGCACCCTGGATAAGGGCTTTTTGGAGCGCCTGGTGATTTTGTCGCTGGTGCAGAGGAGAGAGCGAGACGCGTGCGAGCGATACAATAGGCTTCAACGATATGTTATACACTGTCTGTCTCGGAGGCACGTGCCTGCAGATGATGATGATGATGACACAACTCCCTCCCTTTCCAAATCTACACTGTATTGTTGTCATGTTGCGTCAAAAACGAAAGCCATTATTATTGATTATTTTTGTGTGTACAAACTTTTTACTCGTCTCGTTTGTATTATTGTTGCGCAAAGGATGTTGTTACGAGGTCCGCGGGATACAATTATTCTTGTTATGCACACGTGATGATACATCTTACACGAGGCGCACGATTATTTTTTAACGATTGACGGACGATGAAAGAGTTGATACAAAGCGACGATTTTAAAAGACGGACAAACAAACGAAAAGAAGGACATAAAATTACAACTTTACACCGATGATACTCTTTAATCAAACGCCTCGACTAATAGACTTTTTAATTATTTTTTTGATTTATAATCATTGTTGATTCCTCAATTTTTTTTTGTAATTTAGGATATTTATTATTATTACTATAATTATTGTCATTATTATTTTNTCACGACCGCAACAATACGACGGATCTGGCCAACTGGTCCGGAGAATTTTAGTACAAAGTCGTCAGCGTAGAGGTGGCACGAACAAGATGTAAGAGCTGAGGGCAAATCATTGATATATAAAGAAAACAATAGCGGTCCACATAGAGTACCCTGAGGAACACCCGAACAACGATCAAGCCAACCAGAGGTCAAACCGCCCCGCATCTTAACCGCCTGTGAACGCCCAGAAAGAAAAGACTTGATCCAGCCGCAAGCAGAATCGGAAAAACCAAGAGAAAGGAGCTTTATTACCAGCACATCAATGTTGAGCTCATCGAAAGCGCGCCTAAAGTCCACGGATACTAGTAACGTGACGTGACCCACATCCATGGACGCCCTAATTTCATCAACAAGATTGATCAGTGCAGTATGAATACTGTGGTGCTTACGGAAACCCGACTGCTGGGGGCACAGCAGTCGGTTAGACTCCACGAAAGCCGACATCTGCCTGAGTGCCACCGCCTCGAGAAGCTTCGATGGAGCGCATGTCACGCTAATGGGCCGAAAATGATTCAACTCAGAGGGTTGTTTCACCTTAGGTAGAGGGGTCACAAGTGCTTTCTTCCAAACAGTCGGGAATATACCCGACTGAAGGGAACAATCAAATATGTTTAAAAGGATGGGCGTAATGAAAGGCATGGCGAGCTTCAACATCTGTAACGTGATCCCATCTACTCCACAGGCATTGGTCTTTGATCCACTAAAAGCCTCAAGCAAACTCAACTCATTAATATGGCCGAAAAAAAATCTATCCTCAAATGGCACATCACATGATCGGCCAGCAAAGGAACCAGTAACCAACGGAGCACCCACAAAATGTCGATTAAGGGCATCACCATCGAATGCGATAGCAGGTGATGCACTCGCACTCGACGATGCTCCAATATCACGAAGACATCTCCACATGTCCACAGGACGCCTACAGGACAAAAGCCTATCTTTATTATAAGCGTAAAGCGCATTTCTGGAAAGCATCTGCACCCTGTTACGCAGACGGCGAAAAGCCACTCCATGTGTATCACGCCTGGTTCTCTTATACAATCTCCACTCCCTATTACGCTCTCGAATGAGAGAATGAATCTCATCCGTCATCCACGGGCAAGGGCGGCGTCGAGGAATAAAAGCACGGAAAGGAGCATGGATGTTAAAAAGGTTTGTAAGAGCAGTCGTAAAAAATTCAACTTTCTCGTCAACATGACACATACGAGAAATATAATGCCAGTCAACCGATATAAGATCATGCTTAAAATCATCCAGAACAAGGCCCCTGAATGAACGGGATAAAATGGGCTGTGATTCAAAGGCCGGAAGAGGACAACGGATCTCTATCAGTACAACATCATGCCTCGAGACACCAGGAGCGCTGAATTGGACACTCCTCTCAACCATGCTCGGGTCGCTAATGCAGATATAATCTATGGTACTATCCGAGGTGGTAGTATGATATGTCGGATCAAATACCGTAACCGAGAGGCCCAAAACAGCAAATGACTCACGAAGTATTCTGCAAGGAGTAGTGTTGACTGTCCAATCAATATTGAGATCACCCAAAAGCAATGAGCAATCGAAAGCAGTCGAACAATTCATGACAGCATCCTCAACGTCCGACCAATAGCCACACTTAGGTGGATTATACACAATAGTGCAGAGAAACTTGAGTTGCAGTATAGATAATTCAAGTAATAAAAACTCAGGTCGGAGAGTGTAGGCATCAGTACGAGCCGAACGAGAGACATCACGAAATTTAATAGAATCNAAAAAAAAAAAAAAAAAAAAAAAAAAGTTCAAACAAGTTAAAGTTGTTATTATCTTTGGTACACGTGTGAGTGTATTACCGGGAACTCGAGATATAAGTAGCATCGATTGTCTTTGATTCTAAAATTCACATTTTTTTTTTTTTTTTTTTTTAATATTCCCAAATATTGTTATTACTGAATCAATTATACTAAGTATAACAGCTCATGAAAAAATAAAAATCTTTTATTACTTCCTATGCAAAAATTATGATAACTAATCTTATTATGATTTTCATTTTATCATTCATACCTTTTTCATTTTTAACATTATTAATGCCGAGTAAACAGAATTGGAGTAAGTGTTTTGGTGATAAAAAAATTTTTCCGAAATTGTTGGAGAGCATAATATCGTACGATAACGATATTCATCTTTCGAGAAATGTTCCATCTATTGTGATTAGGTGTATTACTATATACAGACACACGTATGCACATGTTATCTGTGAAAAAATGAAAAGTTCAAACAGTTTAAAGTTTTATTATATTTATTTGGTACGTGTGAGTGTTACCAGGAATTCAAATACATTATAAATATGACTGCTCATGATAAAAAAAAAGTCTTTTATCACTGCTGTACTAAAATCAATTGTACATTTGTATCGATATCAAAATTAACTCTTTTTTTTTTTTTTTTTTTTTTTTTTTTACAAACATTTTTCATAGCCAAATAATATCATGAATTAATTACTTAATCAATTATATATAAATTACTTAATTGCTTTTTTTATGATTAACAAAGTTTATCAATCTTTAAAAAAAAAAAATTGCTCGTAAAAAAAAAGTCTTTTATCAACTAAAATTAAGAAAAATAAAGGTGGTAAGGCACATATTTAAGAGAGACAGACATACTTATCACATTCACCGCATCAGACGATCTGACTCAAAGCCGGCTTGAGATAAGTATAAGTAGGGCTACTTAGGGCACATGCAGCTATACTCTATACATAGAGATGAGTGGATCAAATGATATATATTAATAAAGAGCCTGCAAGATTGGGAATTGGAAGCATTAGCCAGCGTAGCTGTTAATTTTAAAGTTAAAAAAAAAAAAAAAAAAAAAAAAAAAAAAAAAAAAAAAAAAACCAGATATACATTACCATACTAGCTCGTGTATGTGTATGGTATACCTATAGGTCTTGTGTGGAGAATATTGGAGATTGGATTGGAGTTCTCTCCCGGATCACCTGTTTCTCTGTATATAATATCTGTTTATCTGGAAAAAAACATCCGTAACGTTTCTCTTATATACACACGACACACTCGTATAGCTATATAATAGAGATAAGCATGTTATAAATAAACCTCACGGGCTACGAAATGCAGTGCAGTTAATTTAAATACTTTCTACACGCACATATATCAGGAGGTTGTGCTTAGAAGCAGCGGCGTCGCGGGTTTAAAAAACCATAGGTATAGGGGGCACACGACGCGCAACGGTATACCAGTATTTTTATACCTGCAGTATGGTATACCTTGTAGCAACACGTTGTACCTGCTTACGACGACGGCATGTTAACGTACGCTAGTTAAAGTGCATTTATATATCCACAAAGTTTCGGAGTGCAACGTACACAAAACACACGCACGAAACGATGAAGCGCAATTTAGTAAGTTGGCTCAAGTTCCTGGTGCTCGCGGTTCTCCTGGTTTTTCTCACAACGCTGACTTTCCGGGTACTGCGCGGACACCGGGGCTACGAGCTATCCATTCCTCGGGCGCTGGTACTTGACAGAAGGATCGATTACGAGGACTTGATCGCTCAACAGGAAGTGGTTAGTTGCTCTTGTGACATTTATTTTGTGGTTTTTCATATGAGTTACCGGATTTTTATCTATTTGTTATGTTGTTTTTTTATTCATTTTTTTTTCAATTAAAAACTCGTCAAACAAGACATACTCACATAAATTTATTTTTCCTTTGACAAAATTCACACTCTTATGTGTTTGATTTTGTTTTATTAAGGATCCAGATGGGAAGATTGACTGGCATGATTATAGAAGGATCGGAGAAGAAAAAAGTCGGATGGGTCTGGGGGAACAAGGAAAGCCTGCATATTTAGATGCTTCCATGGAAGATCTCAAAGATAAGCTTTACAAGGTAAACGGCTACAATGGAGCTTTGAGCGATCAAATCTTGTTGAACAGGTCTATTTCTGATATCAGACACAAGGACTGCAGAAGAAAAAAGTATTTGAGAAAGCTCGACTCTGTGTCAGTGGTTGTGTCCTTTCACAATGAACACTTTAGTACTTTGATGAGAACTTGTTGGAGCGTTATTAATCGTTCTCCCCCTTCCCTGCTTCATGAGATTATTTTAGTTGACGATGCAAGCACAAAAGTTGAATTAAAAGACAAACTAGATGAGTATGTAAGAAAAAGTTTGCCAAAAGTTAAAGTTGTGAGATTATCCAAGAGATCGGGTTTGATTCGTGGTAGATTAGCTGGAGCTAAAGCAGCCACAGCTGGTGTTCTTGTTTTTTTGGACTCCCACAGTGAAGCCAACATTAACTGGCTGCCTCCATTGCTAGAACCTATAGCTCAAAACTACAGGACTTGTGTATGTCCTTTTATTGATGTCATTGACTACGAGACTTTTGAATACAGAGCACAAGATGAAGGTGCCAGAGGAGCGTTTGATTGGGAATTGTATTACAAGAGGCTGCCTTTGTTGCCCGAAGACTTGAAACATCCATCAGAGCCATTTAAAAGCCCAGTTATGGCTGGTGGACTGTTTGCCATCAGTTCAAAATTTTTTTGGGAGCTTAACGGTTATGATCCTGGATTAGATATCTGGGGTGGTGAGCAGTACGAACTGTCGTTTAAAATTTGGCAATGCGGTGGACAAATGGTGGATGCCCCATGTTCCAGGGTTGGACACATTTATAGAAAATTCGCGCCTTTTCCAAACCCAGGCATTGGTGATTTTCTTAGTAAAAATTATAAAAGAGTGGCAGAAGTTTGGATGGATGAATACGCAGAGTTTATTTACCGTAGAAAACCTCATATGAGAGAGCTGGATCCTGGATCCTTGAGCGAACAGAAGGCTCTAAGAGAAAAGCTCAAATGTAAGTCATTCAAGTGGTTCATGGAGAATGTTGCTTTTGATTTAGTCGAAACCTATCCCCCCGTGGAACCCGATGACTTTGCCTATGGAGAGATTAGGAATATTGGAGAAAAAAATTATTGTTTACATGCAAAGGATAAAGAAAGAAGAGATCTCGAGATCTCGGTTGAATTTTGTAAGAAGGATAACCCAAAAATCAGAGGAGATCAAGAGTTCCAGCTTACTTGGCACAAAGATATTCGTCCAAAAAAGAGCATGTTGTGTTTGGATGTTGCTAGAGGGGATGATAAAGCTCCAATAACGTTGTATCCTTGTCACGGTAAGCAAGGTAATCAATTTTGGACTTATGACATGACAAAAAAATGGCTGAAACATGGGTACAATAACAAGTGCCTAGACATGGATCCACTAAGTAAAAAGGCTTTTGTAGCCCATTGCAATTTCACGATTTTCACTCAAAAGTGGAGTATAGAGCACTTTTTATAGTAGTATTGAACGCCATATTATATAGCTAGTCAGAAATTTGACTTTTGCAAAAGAAATTGAAAAATTTTTTTTTGCACAAAGGAATATTCAAAAGATCATAATACGTACGTACAATTCCAACTACTTTAACTGTATGAATTTAGCCAAGATGATTTATATATTGTGCCTTATAAAGCGAAAAAGTACAAGATTTCATAGAAACTCCGTAATCCCTAAAATATTTGTAATTTTTATTTGCATTTACATACTTGATATAAAAACTTGTTATGTGATATAAAAAAAAAAACTTGAATTTTCGTCGTGATAATAGTTTCACATGTAGATAAGAGTTTTCTTTACTTTTGTACAACCTTATAAAGCAAACAAGTTTTGCTTTTTTTAGCTGTTAAGGGTAAATTTTTTATGTTAAAAGGTGGAGTAATCTTTTTGAGATTATTTTTTTTAAGTATTTTGTTATTTGTTGCTACTATAGAGATTTTTTTTATAATATTTTACCGAGACTTAATATATTGGTATTTATTTGTAATATTTGTAGAATAGTATTAATTTTCGTATGTTATTTACAAAATTATTCTTTAATTTGATGGAAGCTCAATTGTATAAAAATTACCAATTTTTAAATCCATCAACAATAATTTAGAATTAAAAATTACAAATTAGATTTACAGTATCAACAAAAAATTAATTTCGGTTAACGTCATTATGTATTAAATACATACAAACATACTTTAAATTATCGAAAGAAAAATTGTCGCCGTGAATTCATTACATTATCATGAGTGTAAAATAAAATAGTCGTAATCATTTTTTGTTGTATGTCGGTGTGTTTTTGCGGGTAATGTGACTATAGTTACAAGTACATTTAATATACCTGTGATAGTTCCACAAAACATAAAAAAAAATTGAAATTTATGGAATATGTCATAATTAATGAATACCGAAATAATATACATAGTATATTTTCCCTTTGTCTTGCCAATACGACGTGGATTTAGTACTATAAGCTTCCGATTTTATATAAAACGACTGGTTCTGCGAGCGTGTGTTTTTTTATATTCGTGTCTAAATCTGTAAGATATAAATAACTTGTAAACTTTTTTTTTACGGGCACATAGGCTTAATGTCCGAAACTACGACGACAAAAATTGTTACTACATTTTATTTACACAAATGCAAGAAAGTTTTTATCCATAAGCAATATTTCGTAAAAACGAAACGCTTCGCTAGTAATAAATATATAATTGCCCTGTATACTATCACACGCGCAAAACATATATCGAATAAAAGTAATGAACAATATGTTTGTCGTAACGGTGCCAATACACAAACACACAAACAAATATGAAACAAATATGTATATATAAATAAAAAGAATTTCAAGCTTGTTTGTGTTCTTCATTATCACACGCCTCGAAAAATAACGTTTGATCTATATTATATGCATTAAAAAAATATATGTATGTAAGCAACAAATTCCCTCAAAGACGACTGTAGCTGGACTCGTGCATCACCATGTCCCTCGTCACTTGGTCAATCCTCGAGCATCCCGTGAGTGCGAAAGCCAGATCGATCTCGTGTCTCATGATCTCAAGTACAGCGCGGGCCCCTTCCTCCCCCGCGTAGGTAAGGCCCCAGAGCAAGGGTCGGCCGATAAACACCTGTGAAAATAATAATAATAATAATAATAAATAAAAAAAAACATACAATCACCTGTACTCTCGAAACAGTCGCGCATGCACCAGCTTACCATCCTAGCGCCCAAAGCCAAGGCTTTGAAAACGTCCGTGCCCTGAGTCACGCCACCGTCCAGGTACACCTCAACTTTATCTCCCACTGCTTTGACCACCTCCGGCAGTGCTTCGATCTGCAATTTAATGTTCGTTTTTAGGCACATATTATTGCAGTGTACGGTACATATTATATGGTGTAAAATGGATTTTACCGAAGAAGGTGTTCCGTCGATCTGCCGCGCTCCGTGGTTCGACACCAAAATGGCACTCGCTCCGTGCTCGGCTCCGAGAATCGCGTCTTCGGCCGTCAAAATGCCCTTCAGGACTATAGGCAGTTTCGTCACTCTGTCCAACGGCAAACGAGTTGTTTTTTTTCGCTAATATCATTTAAGTATAACGCGAGGAAATTACCTCTTCAGCCAGTCTACGTCTTTCCAAGACAGGGAGTCGTCGAACAAATCCTGGACGTACTCGTTGAGGCCCGATCCTTCCTTGGACAGGTTTATCTTGTTAGCCAATAGCCCATCGAAATTCGCGAGTCTGCAGCAAAGGACTTTTCCTCACAATCGATCGCGATGCACATATTTTGTACGAAAAAAAAAAAAAAAAAAAAAAAAAAAAAAAAAAAGAGAGAGAGTTGAGAACCTCAAGTGCTGGGGAAGGCTGAATTTGTTCCTCATGTCGCGCCTCCTGTCGCCGAACGTCGGCGTGTCGACGGTGAGAACGAGGGCCTTGAAGCCAGCGCGTTCAGCCCTTCGAATCAGGCCCAGGGTGATGCTCCGGTCGGCGTAGACGTACAGCTGGAACCACTTGATGGCCTCCGGGGCCGCCTTGGTCACCTCCTCGATGCTGCTCGTCGACAGGGTCGACAGGATGAATATCGTATTCGCCGCCTGAGTCGCTTGAACCGCACATATATTTTCAATATGGCCCCCTCGTTAGGTGTTACGTATAATGGATATGGTCATCCCTCTGTTGCAGGTATAACCAGTGAAGAATTTTTCTATTGATTTTTTATGTACTTTTGCACCCGTGAAATCCGTATTTTTTCTTTATTATTATAACCAGGATATGAGATTCAATATAAATAAAACCACACACTTGTAAGTTGTACCATCAGCTAGATGAAAACACCAAAACGGTGGGATTTGAAAAAAAAGTTGGTAATTTTCATTAACACTTTGTATAAAATACTTTAGTCCCTCGGGCCATTTTGGTGTTTTCATCTGGATGGTACGACCTAAAAGTGTATGGTTTTATTTATGTTGAATCTCATGTCCTGGTCACAATAGTTAAAGAAAAAAAAAAAAAAAAAAATTACGGATTTTACGGGTGCAAAAGCAGATTAGAAACCAATAGAAAGATTTCTTACTGGCTTCTATTGGACACCTGAAACAGGGATATGATTTAAAACGTGCTCCTGGGGCCTGATTCTCCAAGTGCGCGTCGCAGTGCGACATAGCGGATGACACAGTTCGAGGAGCTCTTTGATTGGTCGTATGGGCTGTGCGTCACCCAACGACATGCTCATCAGAGAGGATAGGGCCCCAGGTATACGGATATATGTATGTCACGCGCGAGATAAGAGATGAGAAAATAATGAAACGAAATACGTGTATTTTCATCATCATACATGTTACCATATCGTCTTTTTTTTTTGTTAAGGCATACTTGTGCGTAGGTGCGAGTGTTTCGATGTATATACGTGATTGACGATAATATATTTATCTCTTCTCCTTCCGTAGTACAACATAACAATCTTACGAAATATGCATATTTGCTTGTACGATAATTAAGTGCATAAGTACCTTTGGCGTTGGCAGTTTCACCGTCCGGGTGGGCCATTTTTTGCATGGCTGTCGGCGAAACGCCCAAAGGCATGGACACCCTCTCGCCGAGTATCGTAGTGCTGATGTCCCTTTTCGAAACGTTGCGCAGCACTCGGGGACGAATGCGAAGCCTTGACCGTTCAAACACATTGTACTTTTTTAACATATATGTCCCTCGACTCGATCAATTGTCGAGTTTGGGAAAAAAAAAAAATGTACTTACTTCTGGAAGGATTCTCTGTTGAGCTTCAACGTGTACTCGTCCCCGGCTCCGCTTTTGTAGTAATCCCTCGCGGTGGGGGTGATATTTTTCATGGAGAGGTCCTCGAAATCTCTCAGGCAAACGGGACGCGACATCCTAGTTTTTTTTTTTTTTTTTTGTTTTTTTTTTCAGGTAAATCAATGGAAAATCAAGGTAAACAAGTTAAAATCGAGGATGTGTTTCGAAACGGAGTGTAAACGTTGAATAATCGGTATTGCGTCAATACGTATATATATATACATANGCCCGTATATGTATATATATATATATATATATATATATTATGTGATGAGATTCTGTTTAGTGATGGCGAAATTGCCGTACATATTTTATCGGGAAAAGAAATTAAAAAAAAAAAAAAAATTGAAGAATAACTTACGTGTATGGATTTTCGAAGGGTAAGTATTTAGCAGCTCGAATCGAAACCTGATGTGAGACAGCACTGCACGTATACAACCTCGGCGAGTTTGAAGCTTCGCGTCGCGAAGAAGAGTGATATAATTCAATGCCAACGTAGCTGATAAGCTGTGGCAGCATCAATCGCACGGCTATATTTTTTTTTTTCCTCTCCACGACGAAGCCACCGATGCACTCACCGTGAAAATGTACATCATTATGAGAACCAGCAGCGCAAAGATAAACTTGTTTACGCAATCAATTTATTCAATGGAGCTCTTTCTCCTTTGCGAATCATGTGATAGGTTGGTTGCCCACGTAGAAAACACGATGAGGCTTTGTTCGAGACGAGAAGGGGCTATATTTAGTCGTCGTGGAAAAATAAAACTCTTATCGGTAAAATCGTGTATACCCCGCTTTTTTGTACCCAAAATACATACTCGTTCTTAGTGTATGCTTTAAATAATCCAAAATATTACCTTACCTTTGACTCGTAAATGTATAGTTTTTTTTTTTTTTCATTGCGAGTGCAAACACAAAAAATTTTGTTCGGCAGCTGTAATCTGTTGTCAAGTGTTATCGAAAAATTCTGTAGGAAAACGTAAGGATCGCAAGGGAATAAAAATAGTAAATAAACTTATGTTTTATAACAATTTACTTGCGATAATTTAAATTTATAAATAATCAATGTTAATTGTAACGCAAGAATTTCATTATTTTATTGTTTATCTTCGTGGTTTTTCATTGAAACTTGGACACCAGTCATTTGTCAGCGATGTTTTCATTTAGTTGTATCGGGTATTTTTTACAGTTTTTTTTTTCTTCTTTTTTTCTTTTTTTGTAACTTTTGTCACAATCTTCAAAGTTTTTATTTCTTTCTTTTTTTTTTTTTTTTTTTTGTTTTTTAAAAATAAATTTTACGGTAAACTGACTGTTGATTGAGTCGAGATACTTGTCAAACGCAAGATTTCTCTTATTAAAATTCTTGAACCACATACACCCTTGCGAAATATAACAATTAAATCATTTAGGTAACAACTTTTGTATAAAGTATGAGAAAAATGAAAAATGCTATTATTCTTTCCAATATTTTTTTCAGCAGTGTTATCTCGATCTTTCATTCATATACACTTAGTGCACATTCGTACATAAACGAAAAAAAACACAAACACACTCATACACCTAACGTGTCCTAAAAATAATGAGTGAATGTATCAAGTATGCATTTCACTCATTATTTTGAATTTCCTTTTGTCTGCTCTTGGTCATATCTATATAACGTAGCTCGCATTCAACGCTCATAAAAAAATTACATTAGAAAATGACACCATGATTTCGATTATTGATGCTCTCTGCAGATGCGTAGGATTTTATAATAATCTCTCTCGCTCTTGTTCTGTTTCTCTCGACTAATATACATAAATAATATTATCGACCATCCTCTAAACGTAAAAAATGTTTGTTTACAAAACCAGGATTTACACTAGCGTTTCGACTTGCTTCCACGTAAAAAAGCAGTAAAATTTGCGTATATGTACATATCATAGTAAGCATTCAAAGTTTCTTTTTTTGTTATTTTTTTTTCATGCGTTTAAAAAAGCTATTATCGTTTGGTATATTTGCTTGATTGATTTATTATTTTTAATTTACTTTATTTCTTTTGTTTAATAGTAGCGTTTGACTTATTACATATCTTATAAATTATATCAGAGCTTGGATCATTTCGTGAGTTTCAAGTACTCATTGCATTAATTGTTTTCTTTCTTTTTTTTCTCTTTTTCTTTTTACAGAAAATTACCCCAGCTCAGTTATTATAAGTATCTTAGAACGATACAACTGATTTTTTTTTCCATTCAACTTTCATACTTTCAAAGCTCTCAGTGGCCTTTATCCATCCCTCTGGTTTGTTGTTGAATTGTGATTCAAAAAGAAAATTCAGTCCCAAAATATATGTTTGTCAATAAAAATTTCAAAATTAAATTTTAAATTTAACAGTAAAATTTATTCTGTTAGCAGTTACAGTTGCAAAAAATTGCCCACTAATCTGCTTTCATTTAAGTACGATAGAAAAAATTTTTTAATGCTATAGCGATAATATTTTTAAATATGATAAACTAATTGAATAATTTAAAAACTCTTTTCATTGTTCTGCATGAAATTTGTGTCTTAAGCTTTCTTAAAAAAAATTAGCGAAAACTTGAATAACATATGAGGATGGTATCGGCCGTTACCTAAAAAGAGAAGAGGAGAAAAATGTATCTGATCAGCGGCGGTCGTCACTAGAAAAAGAAAGAGCATCGAGACGTATCGTATGTCTTCTCTCGACTGCTCTTTCATATGTACATGCTGACTTGTTGCTTTACTTTCAACATGCCAGCCCAGTTATTCGATTTCACGTAGTCCCAGCTGCTCTCACAGAGGCAGCGCGCGTGTAATACCAAATATCATTATGGATCCTGGCTGCTATTTGGTGAGGTTTCGCAATGCGACGTGTGCACCGGTGAAGGCCCAGGTTGTTGCTCCTGTTGCTGCTCTTGCGACTGTTGCTGTTGCATTTGTTGCTGTTGTTGCTGCTGCTTATGCTGTTGCACTTTGTGCTTGAAAAATTGTTCATACCTGAAATTTTAATTCATTGGAGATGTAGTAGTTGTGGTTGTTATTGTTTTGAAACAAAATTTTTTTAAACTTTATTTGGTATTTACCAAAATGCTCTGTATTCTGAGATTTTAGTTTCGTCCTCGAAAATAATACCGTCCTCGAAACTAAAACATGTTTACAATATTCAATAGTTTAGAACCAACGTGGAAGTACGAAATATGATTAAATTTAAAGAAAAACATACCAATGAAACTCCGGAATACCATCATCAAAGTGTTTAGTCTTTTGAGCTGTAGATTTATTCTTTGCAGCTTCCTTCATGAGTTGGAAGTCAATCACTGACGTCGTGTGTGGTATTACTGTCGTTGGTATTGTTTTTGTTGTTGTTGCTGCCGTGGTAGTTTGAACGTTTATTTCCTGAGATGCATTCTCAGAAGTTTCAAACATTTCTTCGATCGAATCCTTAACTTCTGGTTCATCATCCGGACACAGATCGTAAGCCATCTCAAGTATTTTTTTAGCGCTGTTACTGCGTTCTAAACAGTAACCATTGGTCGAATCGTTGGACTGAGGTGGTGGCGACCAATTGTTATAGACGTCTGTATACGGTGCGGTCGAAGTGTAAGGCCTCTGCTTTGGCAAACGAAATAATTCAATGATTATTGATAATAGTTCAAAATATTATTAGTAGTAAATATAATACTACTAAAAATGGGGTACACACCTTATCCAATTCTTCTTGAAGCCACTCGATAGCAAGAAGCCACTTTTTCTTCAATTCGGCATTTTGGTACAAAAATTGGTGCGCTCCTTTACACTTGCAGAGCAATTGCACCATGCATTTGATGCACTGGTACGCTCGCTTTTGATAATGACTACGGCTTTTTTGGATCGTATCGAACAAACCTTCCCTCTCTTCCGGAACACCTTGAGTATAATATTAGTTTGAGAAATTCCAGGACTACTGTATAAAATTAATGCCGTTTGGAAGACGGACAGTTTACCTTTTAGAGCATTATGCACACGATGCATTTGCCACGAATCGTCCATGAGAAGCATCTCCAACAGCAAATCCGTATGATGCTTCAGCTCGTGGGTATACGCAAAGCTTATGTGCCAGAGCAGTTCGCTGAGGACTATGCGCGAAAAGTGCGGATTCTCCCAACAGCAGTATTGCAATAGTTTGACCGTCTCTTCGGCAATGCTTGCATCCTCAATGAGTTTCTTCATGTAGCTCGTACGATTAAAAAGTATATCAGCTGCAAGTGGGGGTATAGGCATGAGGTACTCGTTGCCGCAAGCTGGGTCGCCGTAAGGGTTGGGAAGCACCGGCCCACTAACACTCGATTGGGTTCGAGATGACACATCGCAGCAACGAATAAGCATGCTCACCACCTGATGAAGCTTTGTCAGTTCGGGATATTGATATTTGATTACTGGACCCGGGCCTTCGTCTATCGCTACCAGCATAAATGTCACTGGTACATTCAGCTGAAAAAAGTTTTGTTTCAATTGTCACTGGTGTGCTTTCTATAACTGATTCAATCATAAGCATTAGTCACACAACATAAACATTACCTTTAACAATTGTAACTTTTCCTGTGCACCAAGTGACGCGTAGCTGAGGAAAAAAGAAAAATAGTGTGGCAGGTGACGACCATGATCCGAGATTTCTCTTTGAAGTAACGTAAGAACCGCGTGGACTAGATGATCACTGAGGTTTGCATTGGGATCCACAAGAACAGCTGAAAATAATCCATTCATTTCTGATTAATTTAGATCAAATTATCGCTTTTATGACGCAAATGATACTCTATCGATTTCATTGCTTACTCTGAGCATTAAGAGGTGGTGTGCAAGGGCCATCTTGTAGAGCAAAGTGAGCCACAAAAACTAATATTTTCAAAAAAGAATTTCTAACTTCCGTACTTGGGCAGCTTAACAGATATTCGCAGAATCTGAAAAAAAACGGTGTATTTAAAAATTGAGGAAAAAATAAATCATACCGTAATATTTAACAAACGTATACCTATGTGGATGACTAAATAAGACGTTGTGAGCGAACCAAGCACGTACATTTTTACTATTAAGCAAATGGTGACACAATATGTCGTGCCATTCCGTCGCAGTCCCACGTAAAGTCTTCTTTGTATGAAAACCGGTAAAAAATAGAAATTTTGACGCCAATTGTACAGATAGCATCGACAGCTCTTCAGCTTCCGGGCTCTTGAAAATTTTTTTAATTTTAATACAGTGATATGATAATTATTTAAGTACAAATTATCAAAAACTTACGATTTTATCGTGATTAGGTCGAGTAACGTTGCACGGGTTGCACGATACAAGTTTTCTGATGAACTGGAAGTATTCCGTATTAAACTGATTTCGATTATGCATAAACTTAATATTTTGCTTTCTAACGCTGTACTCGATTGCTGGTGGCATTTTTGTGACTCCCAATTTGGTATCTGAATTTTAAAGATAAGTTTAATCATAACAAAGAATTGCAAGTACTGAAAACTACCAATACATAATGAGAATACTTACATAACGACAGTTCGTTGTGCTTCTTCAACTGAGTATTGGGTTCTACGTCGATCCTAGTGTAAAATAACATGTATGCATTCCACCATCGTTTTTGTCTACGGTAGCTCATGCGTTTCATTATCTGATCAAACACTTCACCCATATACTCGCCACCAAAGCACTGAGACTTCATTTCTTCTTCTTCTTCCATTTTACATTCAGTTACGTCTCCATCGTCAAACTTGTACCATTTTCCCGTCCCATCACTTTGCCTGTTGGAACGAATTTGACATTTTTTTAGGAGTTTAATTTTAATAATTTCAATTGAATGGTAGGTCGCTTTCTTACCTGTGTAAAACATAAGAATAGTAATGACCTCCACTGGCCTGACCACTATGGACGACAATACCAGTTAGTTGATATTTGGTACAAGTTCCTTTGAGTGTCTCCTCGTGATCCCAGTCTATAATCTCTCCTTCCAGTTTTGCGAGTCCCGAAACGGTATAAGGCTCCATGTCGAGATCCCGTGGAAATTCGAAATAATCGTTAAACTTTATAGCACAAACTCTTTCAAAGTCGTACTCGAATCTCTTCAACTGTATTCCCAATATAGGCGGCAATTTCTTAACGCATAATCGCTTAACGGTCACGACCTAGACACAAATCATTCGATTAATTTAGATGCCGTTAAAAAAAGCACGTACTGTAAACTTTAATTTGATAACATACTTTTTTGTTACATTTATCACAGTGGTACGCATCTGCTCCCTCGAGCAGCTCCCCTTTGACGTATTGCTCCAAAGAGTCTGTTAAATTATTATGATTCCTGATATCCACACTTATAACGCTGAAGGGCTCTTCTTTAGAGTATCTGTGAGGACAGCCTTTACAAATTTTCTGGTCACTGTAAGAACCGCCAAGGATTTTGCTCATTATTTGCTCATGGCCCAGAGCTTTCAAAGCTTCGTCCAAACTTTCTACCAGACTCATAAAAAATTCAACGGCATCCTGTTGCTCGCGCAGATTAACAGGTTCACCCTGAAGCCTAAAATTTTTATTCACATTTTATTTTAATTTTACATTTATTTTACATATACTACACAAATGCAAGATACTCACTTAAAGTGCTTCCAAAGACCACGAGGAATGTAGTACTGGAGCTTACTGTAAGCCAAGTGCCCAAATATTGCTTGAACCTGCTTTAGTATGCCAATATTATATTCCTTGCGTGACTCGTCTGCACTGCACTTTTCCTCATTGGTGTCGTTGTCGCTGGCCTCGATCGTCTGTTCGCTCTCTGTTCTTTCCTCACCGGAAAAGTCCTCGTTGAGATCCGTGGCTGCGCCCTCCGCTGCCAACAGTCCTACTCTAATGCTTTCGACCATGTAGAGCTGCTGGAGCACCGAGTTCATGTAGCAGGTCGCGCCGGCGTTCTTGAGTCCGACGAAACCTTGGGGCGGCCTCGGGCCCACCGGCGGCAGGTAGTCCCACTCGACGAGAGGCTCGTCCTTTTCCGAGTAAAACATGTTGCAGAGCATGTTGACTAGAAGCCTCATGTTGGGCACGCAACCGGTGCAGAGGGTAACGAGAAGATCGAAGGCTGCACTGATAGACTGCGGAGTACTGCAAACCGGGCAGGCCTGGAACGAGCTGAGGCAAGCCAGCTCGCCTCGCTTTTCTCGCAACTGCAGCATGCAGCACGAAGCCGGAAATATAAAATCCTGTACTAATTCCTGCAATGGAAAAAAAAAGAAACAATTGAGTTAAAAATCGATTTATTTTGCTTCCATGCGAAACAATGTTATTCACGTTTCTCACCTTAATGAGAGTTATGCCTCTTTTATCGTCGGATCCAAGCTCGTACTTTTTCACGGGTGGAAAAAATGATAGTAACTCTTTTGTAAGGCCCAGGTGACCCTCGAGGACGGCCTCGTCAACCGCAGTATCACCAGTTTCTCGAACACGATCGCGAACTTGCTTCAACCATACGATTTCGATGTTGAGCCAACTTTCAGCAGATGATAATAGGCACCCCGATATGTGTGCATAATTTAATAACCTACACAGTAGCTGCAGAAGAAAAATCAATGAACATTATTAGAATGCCATTCGCTTGTGTCTGTTGGATTGTAGAAGAAACTAGTCATAACTAGTCATGCTTACTTGGAAAAACTCGTGGCTTTGTCTAGCGTACTCTATGACGGTGGTATTTATGACTGGAAACAGGCGAGTGATAAAAAATTGAAGCGCCTGATGTCCACTACTACACCATGTGGATATTAGTAAAAATTGTTCAGCAGCAGTTGCGCGAATCGCCCGTGATGTGCCAACTAGTACAAGGTCAATTAAAAACGTGTTCCACATGACGTTCTCCGAGTTTTGTTGCCACATGGAGTCTCGCGTCAAATCCTCCAGAGCCTTTGGATTTAATACTAGAGCTAATGTCAACACTTCCAATGCCTCTTTGCAAACTGTGATAAATTATTATCGATCATCATATTTTCGTCATCTATTTTGTCGTTAATTGATAAATAATTTTAGAGTTTAAAAAAAAAAGTTTTACTCACTCAAAACATCATTGTTGTCCATGTTTTTCTGATCTTTAGCATTGGTCTCGTGAATTTCATGGAGCACTTGGGACGAGGCATTAAGGTGATTTAAACTACCACTGGACGCGGCCCAAGCTAATCTAATTATGGCACGAATGGTGACCACGTCCGGCAGTTCCCACAGGAGCGCCTGCTGCAGCAGCTGCCTGTACCGCTCGAGCTCCGAACTCCCGATTAACATGTCCTTGGCAATGAACGTGGCGAGCTTGACCGCGACCGAGCGCAACATAAACTCCGTGTTTTGATTCGGAACACTGTGCAACGCCTGCTTCAGCACGGCTATCGGCAGTTGGTGCTTGTTCGACTGAAGGATTTGGGCGTTCAAGTATGGCACCTCGGTTAATTGGGCCACGGTGTTCGCCATCACCGTCAGCAGGAACTTGCACAGCTTGAGAACTGTAAGATAGGCCGAGCGCTTCGTTACTTCATCCGCATTAGGTAGGAAATTATTTTTCGTCAACATGTCCAGGATTACTCCGGCTTCGCCACTTTTGATCAAATTGAGCTGGAACTCGCATGCCTTGTCAGACATTGGATCGAGTGCGGGCATCAACAGTGTGTATAAAACCTGCAATTGAATAAGCAATGCTTTAATCGCGTGTGTTCGACTTTGAACGAGATAAATATACAATGCCACTTGTGCACAAACCTCTAAATTGTATAAAACTTGACTTGGACTTGCTGAGAAAAACAGAGAGCCTACGTTAACATTGGACTCGTCGGCGGAAGAATTTTGCACAGCTTCGTGATCTTTGTAGCGCCCGAAAAAACGTTGCAATTTCTGCACTGTACATATGTCAGCCGGGATCAATTGCAAAAGATAGCGTGCGCCATCGCGCAATTGGGCCTGTTCGAGCATACAGCCCAAATCCGCCAATTGAAAGAAAAACGTGACAAACTTGTGTCTTTGGGATAACAGCTGCAATTAATTTCGAATAAAAATTAAATTTGCACTATCAACATGGAAAATCTGCATCAATAGTTTGACTTACCACTCCGGGTAAACTGCTCTCGGCTTCTGGATTAGACGCGTGACAACTCTCCATTTTGGAGTAAGGATGGTGAGGTGAGCTAGTTGAGCTGTCGGAACTACTATCGGGAGAGCTTGGCATGTTTGTGTTAACTTGACTGAGTTTTACTGACAATAACTAAAAAACAGAATCATTTGGTTCATTATTTGAATTTTATATTGTTATTCTGTATTTAAAATATGATACGGTAAATTTTACCGTTTTGTCTCTTAAAGGAATCTGCGATAATAGTTTTCTATCGTCGGCTGGGTCCAACGGTTCTCCGTTAATGAAAAGATCCATTTTAATCTGTGTATCACTGGCTTTGATTTTTCTCATTATCTGTCGTCTCAAAGATGCCAATGTATCGTTCGTATGTGAAAATATTTCAATATCTTCAACGGCACGAGCAGGATTAGCAAATCTTACGATTAGAGATAAATGCTTGCCTCGAGCAGCTCTGTGTAATGGAAGAATTTTCCTTTCTCCAGGAAAAGCCATGTCACACTCATTTAGATATTCCTGCAAAACTTTCATTACGCGACACATTTTTAACGCTTCCGATTTAATACAGTCAACGGCACTTTCGTCTTTATCCTCTTTGTTCTCGAGTGTATCTTTTTTAAGGATGGACATCGTGTCGTAGTGAGCTTTCAAACGATCAATACACTCTGATATATAAGTTTCGTGAAAAGCCATTACGGATGATTGCAGTCGAGAACCCAAGTTAGTATTAACTTCTTTCATCAGCTCTATTCCTCGATTGGCTATTTCTTCTGGACTGTTTGTTACGACCTGAATAAAGGAACAGTGTCACTTGCATAAAACGTTTTATTGAGGCCTACATGTATACGTTGGGAAGTCGCAAGCAGTAAAATATAAATACTGCATACATTCTCAACAGATTAATGGGCTCGTATGCGAAATCATGCTTGCGCTTCAAAACTTATGTATAACAACTTTTGGTTGTTAAAAACTGACAAATACTCACCCTCCACAAGTAGTCGGCTCCTATCAAGTCTACATCCTCCAGCAAAACAGTGCGTCTTTTAATCTTCAACTTGTTTTCCTTGGAATTAACAGCTTTGAAGAACCTCTCAAAACATCGAATGCCACTCTCGGTAAGCAGCGTGGGATCCAACAATAAAATGTTATTTACAAAAAAGTCTTTGTTGATTGACGGATCAAGATCAGGCTCTTCGCCCATTAATTTAGAGAACCACTTGAAACATGCTTCTCTGTCTGAAGGAAAAACTGCTTGTTCTGCCAAACACTGCCAAATTTGTTTAGCTTGGTCGGCGCAAAGCCATAATTGACCTTCCTATAAAAATAAATTTTTGTTTGAATTTCACTGTCCAGTTTACGATTTGAACTCTCTTGAGAAAAATTTTTAATTACTTTTAATAAAAATCTTAAAAAACTCAGCCTTTCATGGACTTGCATGATGTGGTTACAGCGATCGTCAGGTAAAAAAGTATTAGGGTCAATATCCGGGTGATCCTTGACCAGTTGTCGTACTCTGCTCATATACGATGTCAAATTGTTAGTCACAAGTATAACGACGGAGTGATGGCCTTGAAGACGTTCAATGACTTCTTGCCTGGTTAAAAAATATAACGAATGTCAACCAAAACTCAATTGGTATATACAAGATTTAAAAACACACTGTACCTATAGCACGCATGTTGAGTTCGCTGACCATGACCCATGTTGGGATTTGATTCATAGAGGGAACAAATTTCACGAATTTGCTTGAGCGCAGGTAGTGCCCACTTATCGCCGTTTTTCAATTCCTCCACACATTTGTCCAGCCATAATGTTTTTTGAGCGTCCCTCTCTTGTGAACACGAGTAATCCAATATTTTGACGTGAGCACTCAAGGCTTGGTCCGCGATTTCTGGAGGCACGTCTTCACTGTGTCCCAAGTTCCAAAAGAGGCTCAACACCTGTTAACATTTTTTGAATTATTACGTGACAAATTAGGGCTATTTAAAAATTGGTAAATAATTATTATCAATTTTTCTTTACTTTATGAGCCATGACTCCATCCTTGTCATCTTCAGCAAGTCTTCGAATTAACTCGAGAAGCTTTTCTCGTTGTTTTTTGTTGTTGGCAGTTCTCCAACTCGTCTGGAATAGAGAAAAATTATAAATACTCTCAAACTCGTTGACTTGCAAAGAAATAACGCGTTGAAACCGCTTTGTAGCATCTATTTGAAATTTGTATGTTTAGCTTCTTGAAACATAGCGGACCAAAAATATTCATTTCCGCATTTCTCAAGATATTTTTATAAAATATATATGTTTTGTCTAAAATATTCACATTTCAATAAGTTTTTTCACAGGAAAAACGAGCTTTTTGTGCAAACTTTTCGTTTATGTAATAAAATTATGCAACACACCAAAAAAAATAAAAAGAGAAAAAAGACAAAAACATAAATACCGTGAAACACTCGAAAAGATGATCCAACTGTTCCGGACTAAAATCCCAAGCCAATTTGGCCAATAAATCATGAACGTTTTTCACAATGGCTTCGTGTTTACCAGCTTGTGCCGCCCACACAGCATCCAAGTCTTCGAGAGATAATGCACGTTCTTTTATGATAAAACGTAAAATTTTTTCTAGTTTCTCGACGTATTGCGGCTGATGCAGCGAGTCCCTCAACACGATTTCCAACACTCCATTTTCTTTGATCCATTTCTGGTGTATAATAATTATGAGAAATTTTTTTTTTTTTTTTTTTTTCAGACAAACACCATATTTTCGAATGATTTAACGATTTAAAAAGCACTCACCGCCATTCGTTCGGCAGTTAACCATTCTTCCTCCTCGAGATTTGGATTACGGTGAAGATAATAATTTACACTTGCAATTACTTTATTCACTTCGTTAAGAGCATTCATTTTGCCATTGAAAGACGATATTTGTAAAAGCCTCAGAATCATTTTCAGTCTAAAGATTTCGAGATTTTTTATCGTCCCCTCCTGATAAGGTACGCGCGTGGCTATACACTTTGCTGCTTTGATTATGGCTGATATCGCGTCGTTCTTGGATTCGTTTTTCGCTTCTTTCTTAAGTTCAGAATCTGTCAGATTATCTAAAATTTGAGGCACCATTTTCTGAAAAACAAAAGTTTACAAATTAATCATTAAAAATAAAACAGTCTGAACGTTATTATTCAGTATTACTTACCACTATGGGCATTAGGTATTTATAAATGGTATTAACTGTTAATAACTCATAGCACAAGCCAAATGGCTTCATTAACGCATAAATAACTGGCACTGTTAAATTTCGTCCACTTGAAAATCTTTTGAGTAAAATTTCAAAACCATTAAGACTACCAAATCTGTGGAAAAAACATGAAAATTTAATTTCAAGTACAACGATGTATCATTAATGACAAAAAATAAATGAAAACTCACTTATTTATAAGATCAACAAGCCAGCCACGTGGATTCCTCGAATCTGAAGGAGATCGCGCATATACTTCATCATCAGGAATATTACTACCTGGTGGTACAGTCTCTGAGGTACGCGATGCATTAAACGTATGAAATCTGAGAAAGAAATTTTTGTTTAAGCAATTGAAATCGATTTGTCAGAGAAAAAGAATTTAAAAGAGAGTGAACGGTAAAAAAAAAAAAAAAAACTCACTTATTATTAGGATTAAAAACCATTGCTAGTAAATCAAGAAGAGGAAACCAGTCCTCTTCTAATTTCAAGACACAAAGTTCTACCAGCCGTTGACAGTTGGCATTTATGTAATTGTGAATATTTAATTTCCAACTATTGACAGCATCATCTGTTAAAATTTTTGTAAAAGAAATCGTAAGCCCTTCCCGAAAAAAACGTTGACATGCTTCACTCTGTACATCAATTCCTGCAAATGAAAATTTGGTCACAGTTTAAACTCTGTTGTTCGTTTGACAACATTACACGTTTAATGTAGCCCGAAAATGAAGCAAACGACAATGACCTTTTTTGCACAAATCGATACTGGCTTGTAACAGGCACTCCAATTCTTGATCAGGCAAAACAGGCACTACCCATCTTGGACTAGATATTTTTTCATCCAGCGCAGCAAGCTTAGCATGTGGAAAATCAGGCTCTAACTTTTGCTGAACTGTCTCTTCGCTACCAGTCACAGTCGACGAGTCGTTGGTGCAATCAGCAGTCGTTACGTTTTCAGTTATCTGAAGGCTGGACATGGCGTCCGCCAACTGCTGCTGACCAGGTGAACTAGGCATCTAGAAACAATAGGACCAATAAATTTACATCTCTCACGCCACGTTTGTAACGAAGTTTTATTGCGTATGGGTATAAAAATGATTAACGAACCACTGTGTTTTGATGACTTTCGGGCGGATCAATTCCAACCCCTTGGCCTCTCGTAGCAATCGTCATCCTGCCTTGTAAGTCTTACGGACTGACGTCTTGAAGGTGTACGTGTTTAGGACTAAGTTGCACCACCAAAAACCAGAATCCAGTACTGTCATGAAACACGCTTTTATCTTCGAGGCCTTGTAACTTTAACCTATATCTACATTATCTGAAACAGAGAACAAAAAGGAAATGCCAAGTTAAGTGGAGCCTGGCTTTATCCTGACATGATACAATGTAACGTAACATGTCAAATTACTAATGATAGTTGAGGGAAAAAAAACACTAGCGAAAATGATGACGTGACGAGAGTTTGCTATTTCACGCATCAGAAATATAAAAAAAATAAAAAATAAAAAAAAAAAAACAACAAATTATCACCAAAGATCTGGCTTGTCAAAATAACTCTCGTGCGTTTCCTGACAAAGCCATATAGCTAGCAGTATTCTGTAGCGAATGTCAAGAGATAACGTATAGGCGAACACAATATCATATCCCGTCCAATTGATCACGTCTCAAGAAGAAGCAAACAACGTCCGCGCAAGCAGGGGTGTTACTCTACAGGCATACATACATGCACACACACAATTTCTCGGCAAAGGCCGGTCAGGAAAACTCTCTCCTTCTGGCAGCTCCAAAAGAATCAACTTCTCTCCAATTCGGTGTGAAAAGTGGCAAGGGAAGCAAAACACGTCTGGTATGCAGCTACCTCTGGCCACCTTTTAGTCTCTCTATAACTCTGGTCTTTCCTGTCCCAGGTGACATTTGGAGACACGTATCAAGGCAAACGCGTGGACGACGTTTCAAAGCACATTGAAGCAGTGGTATACACTCAACAACTCACGAACGACGACGTCGACGACCTGATCTTGTTTAAAACAGACTGTTTTGTGCACTTACACAGGCACACAAAAATATATACACACACATGGTATGCAGAAGCAGTTGCAGTTGCTTGCAGAGTAAGTATATGCACCACAGACATCAGGCACACGAAGAAACGGGGGGGGGAGAGGAGGTTCTGTTTGACAAACTGCCTTCGAAAAATATACCTCACACTTTGAAGAAGCTCTCCGATCAAAAAAGTCCAATGGCAGACGTAAGAGAAGGGAGAGCTGTCAGGTCGGTGTGCAGTAGTAGACACCACACACAGACGACGACGTTGTTAAGGGTGTCCCGGGCTGAGAGATCAGGGTGACGTAAAGCGCTGCAAGAATTGGTTTGTTTGACGGGGAAGTTGAGAGGCAAACAAACTAAATTATATGGGTACATGTATGTATCGTTTGTCCATGCCCCCTCACACGCAGAGAGAATTGAGGGCAACCATCACCTGTACTAATGCCGCAAAGGACACCGGAGATCGGGGAAGAGAGAGAGAGAGAGAGCACCAAAGAGCCTGGACGGAGAGAGCAAGAGAGAAAGGGCCGAGGAGAGGGTCTCCAATGATAATTATATTATATGATATACAGAAAGCAAAACAGAGAACGAGAGAAATAGGGTGCGTCTCTCGCGCGCGCGCCGACCGGGCCGTGTGCCGTTGGCGGCGAGGTCGTTGGTATTATGTACCTTGGCCAGTCGCTGGAACTCCCGTGGCAGCAGGCAACTCCCTGTCTGCTTTTCAACTCGTCGTTGATATCCTCGGTGAAACCGGGCCGAAGTCAAACTCGGACAAAATGGCGACTCCTCGCCAACACACATCAACACAGTCACCAACACCAACACACGCGCGCACGTACACTGGGACCTGGGATGAGAGATGTGAAGTATTTTTCACTAGGTATATGTATACTGTAGGTACTTAGTCTTGAGTCTAGTCTATAGACTGCAGGGTTTTGGGACTTTGGGTGTTCGTTCTGCTTCTGGGTGCGGGCAGACTGCCGCTATGAGGGTATAGTTTGTTCGTGCGTAAAATACACTGGGTTGGAGACGTTGGAGTAGTGGCAGTAGTGCACTATATATCACTAGTGGTGGCGCTGGAACTTGGACACTCTCTCACTCACCGGCTGTCCGGCTGAACTGCAGTCATGCGACGAAAGAGATGACGGCAGACGGTTTTGGAGGTCCGACAGACCGACAGCTCTAGGACTTGAAGGCCTTTTGGGGAGCTTGGAGCTTAGTGCTCGGAAGTAAATAGTCATAACAGCTATAATCTACATTAGTTGTTAGTAAACTTGACAAAAACGCTATACCGATAGAACACAACAACAATTATAAAAGCTCTTGTAAATTTGGATTTCTAACTAGTTAATTCGCCTTTTTTTATTTTTCTTTTTTTGCGTTATGAAAATATAAAAAATCTAAACAATTTTCTTACCCATTTTGATGGTTTTTCAAAATAATCCTTACACGTGATCGACTTTTTTTTGATATTTTTCTGAGCATTTCGGCAAGTGGGTTTATGGTTATTGTTTATTGTTGTGTAGCCCCTCCCCCCACAATAATAATTATACACTTTAAGCCGTACTTGAAGCACTTAATTACGAGGGCGGCTCTTTTGGCTCAGTTCGGTTCTATACTTTAGTTTTATTCAATCGGTTTTTGAGTATTATCGTTTGCATGATTTTGCTATCACTATGTGTTAGAGTCAAGAAGTTTCGATTGGAGGATTGCTCTAAGAAAAATTATTATTATTATATCGGCTTTCTGATCCGCAGTAAATTAAAGGTACAACAAATTTACAATCACAATTTTAAGTGCCTCAAGGTCAATAATACCGAAAAAGAATTAAGTTACTGTTCTTTGTTCATAAGTTTCATTTGTTTATCCTGATGCAACTTTTACATGTATTTTAGGTATTAATCACCAATTATTACATTATCAGAGCTCTAATGTAACATATGATAAAATCATAACAATATAAAACGACTATCACTCGGACGCTCTGGATTGTGGTTTTGATATCACTTGGGTTTTAGAGTATACATAACAGCAATTTTAATGTTCGAAAGTTTTTTTGATGTGAGATATTAATTATGTACTTCTCGGTTAATGCATAAATAAGAATCTGCCACATTTAAATATTTTTATATATAACTATCTTCTAAGGTCAAGATAAAACTTTTAAGCTTTGGGTTATACATATAGGGGTTGCTCAGATTTCTCTTGAGAAATAGCTTGAGGTTTAAATTACGCGCCAATTTGGCACGATGTATATTTCCGTTCTCGAAAAAACTGGCTGCGAATGCGATTGTCCGAATAAATGGAACTAACCAATAAAGAGCGAGAAAGCGCGATATCGCTCTGAAATCTGACATTTAATTCTTTTAAAATATATACCTATATACAGTCGTGTGTGATTCTGTCACATTGTCACATTGTCAGTGAGTCAGTTGCTGCAGCACTTCTGCAGTCGTGTATTTGTATCGTATGTATGCCTGTCCTGTATTTATAAGTTTTGTTTACTTCACTGCCGTTTTGCGATTTATGAAAGTTGTAATAAAATAAGACTTATGCTGCTTGGGCTTTTATGAACACTTGTATTTTTAAATCACATTAATACACCAATGCAATATTGAGCTCATCATGACATAACAACAACAATTTCAGCAGTGTTTTGACTTTTTCAAGGATTTTGCCATTTCGTCTGCCAAACAATTTCACATTGAAGAGCACCGTCGAATTCTCAAATTTATGCAAATAAGTGTTCAAGATGGAAAAAAAATCTAAAAATCCTTGGTACAGTTTATCCACCGTTACTACTTTTGACAAAGGTACGCAAATGCATTAAATTTTTACTTACCTGTAGCTAATCTAATCACGTTTTCGTTAATAAAAGTTTTTCTCATGAGTTCTGCAGGAACTGGTGCTTTTCAAACAAGATATTTTGATAAGAATAGGAAAGAAAAAAATATCAACAAAGTCATTAAAAAATGTTCTCCGAGTGTCTTAATTACTTCACTACTGAATTACATATGCTACTTAAGCGAAAAGGACCCAGAGCAAAAACAAAATTTATATTCTTGTGAGTACATTATTAAAAATATTAAATATTTGATATTTATTTGATCTGTTTTTGTTTCCAGTATTATGTAATGTTATGCAGAAAATGGATCTTATAGATTCTTCTCATAAAATAAAACCAGTTAAACTTGCTGATGGGAAATACATGGATGCTGTATATCAATTAATCAACGTAGCTAGATCAGTCATTGGGAATGATAAGGCAATATCCATACCGAGGTACACAAATGTAAAATTAATCTAAAATATATACTTAATAGCTTGAATCTTTTTACTTTTTAGACCTGTTTGGTCATACATTTCCTTATACCAGGATCAGTTTATAGAAACCGGGTTTATAGCAGGTGGTGGTTTTGGCAGTGTTTTTAAGGCTAAGCACAAACTTGACGAGGTCGAGTATGCAATAAAGAAAATTATTGTCAAACCTGGGAAAATCAAAACTATTATTCATTATTTGGAAGAAGTTAAAACACTTGCCAAATTAAATCATTCAAATATTGTATCCTACAAACAAGCGTGGATAGAACCTTATACCGCACCCTGCCTTCCACAACTGACACCTCTGATAGATTTGAGAAATGATGAAAGTGTAGATATTGAAAGTTGCACAAAGTCTTGTAGAATTTTCAGTGGAAGTCAACGCTTGCGTTGTAGCTACGAAGTCGATGAATCTTGTTCAGACAGTATTTCGTTTAGAGGAGAAAATAGTAATCCATGTAGTATTAGTATTGAAAGTGATACTGACAACAATGCTGGTGAAGATAATTTAAAAAGTGAAAAAATTAGTGACACTCGTTCAAATCTCAGTTCGTTTGAAGAGAAAAAAGAGGAAGAAGCACGTAACGTTGAAAGTGATATTAATAATAAAATTAATACCGGTTCTGGAATCAGCACAGAAGAAAGCAGTGATGAATCTCTTGAAAACATCAAAATTTGTCAATACTCTAGAGAAAAAGTAAGTTCAGATCACAGTTACCTTCTTAATTACCATAATTTTATTCATTCTAAAAAAATTTTTTAACTACTTTTAGAAGCTGTACACAATATTGTATATTCAAATGGCATTATGTGAAAAAACATTGCGCCACTGGTTAGATGACAGAACTGAACCTACTCCGGTGTCTGTAATGGCTGACATAGCAACACAAATACTTTGTGGCCTGAATTACATACATTCTCTAAACATTGTGCATCACGACATAAAGGTATACGATTTCTCTTTAAGACGAAAAATTTCTTAATTACTTTGAATTTACTTGTTACTGAGAATAAAAATAAAAATAAAATTTTAGCCAAGTAACATATTCATTTCAACATCAGGAAAACTACGAATACAACTTGGAGACTTTGGTTTGGCTTGTCCTTTGCAAAAAGAAAGTCATAATTCTATTGTTGGAACTTGTATGTATGCAGCACCCGAGCAATTAAATGGAGAATGCAATCCAATGGTAAAATAGATAATTTCTTCAAGTTTTTCAGCATAATAAGTAGATCATGAATCAATGTATTCCTATATTTATTTCTAGAGTGACGTTTACAGTTTGGGTATTGTCTTTTTGGAACTATTAGTTCCTATGAAAACAGTCAGTGAATGTGTTGAAATGATTAATCATTTAAAATCAAATCAAATACCATCAAGTTTAGCTTCCTCGCATCAAAAATGGGTAAAAATAAATAACTGTAAAATAATAAATAATTATTTGTTCTCGTAAATGTTAAGACATTTAATTTTATCACAGATCAATACAATTAAAAAATTGTTAAATCACAACCCAGCACAACGGCCTTCATCGAGCGAACTTCTGGAAGACTTACGAATAGATAAAGACTTGACAATATCAAAATTGGAACATGAAAACAGTAGGCTAAGACATGAAAACGAAAAAAAAGATCAAACCATAAGCGAGTTGCAAAATTTTATTAAAAATTTGCAGGATCAACTAAAGAATCTGCAAGAAGGAAATCTGAAATAGGCTCAATTCATGACATTTTGTACAAAGCGTTGTAAATATTTAACGTTGTTTTTGATACTTTATGATTGAATCTAAAACTTTTTGAAGTTGAATGCCGAATGTGATTCTTGAGTGAGGTGGGTCTGGAGTGGAACACTTTTTAATTAAATTTGTTAAAGTTGAATACTTTTTTAAAATTTCACTTGGTGTACTATGCAAAAATCCTTGCGTAAATCTTTCGTTGTTTTGTCCCAGAGCATGCTGTAATAAGTAACAAAATTTTTTTATTTTTTAATAGTTAATGGGCAGTTGAAGCAAAAATTACCTGACAAATCGCCATATAATTATGATCGCTAATTTTATGATTACATATATCGCTAGGGGAAAATATGAAACAATCTTGGCAATTGGTATGAGTTTCACTGATGTGTGTTTCATTCCAAGAAAGTATGTTTGACCAGACTGAAATTTTTCGTATTGTTATTGAATGACAGTCTTTTTTGAATAAAATGTTTTTAATAAATATAACTATTACCTTCTTTTGGTGGGTCCTTATCCACAACAATAACATTCTCCAAATCAATAAATACAGCCTGATTGTTCTGATTAACTGCAATATTATCTGTAGACACGTCTGTCAGATAAAAGGCAAATTCCGAGTGTTTAAAAGTAAGCTTATAGGCAGCATCGAGAAGACTAGATGATATTTCAGCTCTTTTTATCCAAGGCTCATTAATGAAGGCGGATAAGGGTAGACCGGCATTCTCCTCAACAACTACCCTTCCACATTCCCCAATGTACTTTGGTGTTGGCCAATCGTTTTCGGGCCTCAACAGCTATAAAATAACTAAAAAAACTGGAAAAACATAGTTTTTAGCAAAAATCTAGGTGAAATGACAAATACCTGAAGAAAAATCGGTTCAGGGTTGATTTTTATGAAACTCCACAGGTATTTGTAATAATTTGCATTTTTAGCCGAATCTCCAATTTTTCCCAACAATTTATTAGCTCTTCCAACAGTAGGACAAATTCTTAATTTCACGTGTGGATCATCGAATCTTGCATCTTCCAAATCTCTCAGAATCGATCGGTAAAAGTTCGTTATCGCGTTTGATCTCTTGTTCTTACGAAAACAAAGTTCATCAAACTGATCGTTAGAACAAATGAAATCATCAAAGAGTTGAAATTCAAAGTCATGAGCCAACTTTTTCACAACAACCTTCGTATCCCCATATTTGCCGTAATAAACATTTTTCACGCCAAACAAATTGTTGAATATCGAATTGAAATCTGAATACTCGAAAACGATTTTGTTATCGTCGATATCTTGACACAGCGAAACCCCGAAACAGGCAGGACACTTTTCCCTCTCGGTAATGTCGGCCACAGTGCGATTTAATTTGCGCAGGAGCACACCGACTACCAGAACAACCAGAGTTGTGAGAAACAAGAAAATGGTCCGTCTCTTGATTAACTTCATGAATGACATCACAATAATATATTAAATTTCATTAAAACAAAAAAAAAAAACAAAAAAAAAAATCGACTAAAATAAACACATGTACACTTTTCACAACAATTGCACGAGATGCGCTGACGACACTACAATTTTTTTTTTTTGCCGAGCAATCATAACGCTCACGCTTGCATGTAAGTTCAAAATGTTATTCATAAAAACAAACACGAATGTCAACAGCCTTTTTTATTTTTAATATTATAGTGCTCTACGTCCGGCTCCTTTGATAAGGGCACTTATATACTATGGGCACTGTCTTGTGCAGCAGTGCGCGCCGGCATCACAACAAAAATCATCGATCGGAGCAGTCTGTCTGCTAGGCTGTCTGCTCTCAGTGCACGTGTGCATTGGACATCGTAACATATCTTAATTCTTCAGTTTTCAAACTTAAGTTAAAGACCACAGAGGTGCAATTACAACTGAATGATTTCGCTTGATCGATCCTAAGAACTTTTCAACTTAAATTTCTCATTACTAGAAATTAGTAGTGTCAAGGTTTATTGTTGGTAAGCGCTTTTTTTCATTTAATGGGATTATTTGTGTGCATATACTTGCTCAAATAATCGAATGGTTTATAAGCTATACATGGCTGGCATTTAATTTAGTTTGTTGAATTATTGCTTCCAATTTTTCTTGTATTAATGGAAAATTTTGTATGTGTATTCTCGTGTATACACGATACGCTTTATTTTAGAATGCGGTAGTATAATATCCTTCGTTGTTGGAAATGGCCAAAAGTTTGTAAATATTATCAATCAGTTTAAAATAACATAAAATGGTAGACTCAACTATCCAAGATTGGAGGCCCTTTGTGTACGGAGGCTTAGCATCCATTGTAGCTGAATTAGGTAAAGCACTGATCAAATATACAATTCTTGTGCTTAAATGTAAGTCAATGGCAGTGCTTAACTTTATTGATTTCAGGTACTTTTCCGTTGGACACGACAAAAACTCGTCTGCAAATTCAAGGACAAAAGCACGATGTAAGATTTTCAAGCTTAAAGTATTCTGGAATGATAGATGCTTTGATAAAAATCCCGAAACAAGAGGGCTACAAAGCTTTGTATGCTGGGTAAACTTTGAGAGTTTTATTTTTTTATTGGAAAAATTTATATTAGTTGACACACTGCCCAAAGACTTAAATTTCACAGGATCAGCTCAGCAATTTTAAGGCAGGCAACTTATGGAACCATTAAGTTTGGAACTTACTATTCTCTGAAGCAAAGTGCCACAGATAAGTGGGGTACCAACGATATAGTTTTGATCAATATTGTGTGTGCTGCAATAGCCGGAGCTTTTTCCAGTGCCATTGCAAATCCAACAGATGTTGTAAAAGTCAGAATGCAACTTGCTACAATAGAAACTAATCTTTCACTGTTTGGTTGTTTGCAAGATGTTTACTATCAAGAAGGTGTAAGAGGCTTGTGGAGGGTAAGTTTGTAAATTTTATTTAATTATGTCATTTGATAAACAATTCTCATTGACCTAGGGAGTTGGTCCAACTGCTCAGAGGGCAGCTATTATAGCAGCAGTGGAATTACCCATATATGATTTTAGTAAAAAAGAGTTAATACCTTATGTAGGTGACAGCATATCCAATCATTTTATGTAAGTATTTATTATCATTTATTTGATAATTATTTTTTTCATAAAAAATTTTTTTTTTTTATAGATCTAGTTTTATAGCAAGCATGGGAAGTGCTGTATCCTCTACTCCCATTGATGTTGTCCGAGTATGATTCATTATTTGAAAATAAAATTTCTAATGCAAATATCTGTTTCAATAATAAAAATTTCGATTCATAGACGCGATTGATGAACCAGAGACGGATAAATTCAAATCATGGGACTGTTCCTTCTCATATTTATACCAGCAGTACAGAGTGTTTCATTCAGGTAGTCCTAATTATAACTATCCCATGTAAATTTTATCACTAATTTTTTTTTACTTGTAGACTTTTAGGAATGAGGGGTTTTTCGCGCTTTATAAAGGGTTTATCCCTACTTGGCTCAGGATGGGACCATGGAATATCATATTTTTCATAACTTATGAGCAATTGAAAAAGTTTTAAAGAAATTTGCAAATGCACACATTTAATGTAAATATCTTAAGATCTATTGTTTCTTAAAAAAATTTTTTTTTTAATCAGTTTTTCAAACAATTTTTATTTCTGATGATTATTGCATTTTAAAAAGATTTTTTGTACAGTGTAAATAGGGTATTTTTGTTTATGCCTGCATATAACGTTTCTTTATTTTTTATTTAATGAAGAAAACTGGAAATACTCATCAACTATTTATGCAACTTGTTAGTATTAATGGTAGAGATTAATTTAAATAATTTTAAGTAATTTAGGAAAAAATTAAAAGTACACTTAACCAAATGATAGTATTAAAGTACAAATTAAACAGATACAGCAAATTCTAACTTGCGTGCTGTTTCACAAAATATTATTTTATGAAAAATGAAATTTTGTCACGTAATAAATCGTTTGTATAGATGTGTTGTTGACTGACGTTTTGTATCATTTAACATATATTACTCTCATGTCGATAAATGTATGGTAACTTAAATGTTGTTAAAGTTAATTCTGTTGAAAAAGTGTTAGTAATTTTGAAAAACAAAATCCAATTTTTAGAGTGAATTAATAAATAGCACAAAAAAGTAACAGTCTTTTTTTTATTTTTTCTCAAAATATATTTATTTTTATATGGTGTAATGATTTTTGTACAAGAAAATATATTTACACACATCTCGATGAACTTTTGAAATTGAAATTTCGCGATAACACTAGGTAAAAATAATTATCATTCGCAATCCCATACGATAACTTTCTTATCTCGACCACCTGTCATCACCTTTTTATTGTCTGACGTTATAGCTACGGATACTATAGCTCCTAAAGATGAATAAAAAATTTAACATTACAGACGAACAAAAAAAAAGTTATTATTTCACAAATAATATAGATTTGTAAATATTTACCCTCGTGACAGTGAAATTTGGATATGAACGCCGCAGTCTGTGGGTACCACACGTGAAGATCGCCTTGGGCATCTCCGATTAGTAACAACGAACCAATCCACCCAAAGCTCATGGGTTCTTCGTCCAACGTTGCAAAATAAATTTGAGTACTAGTTTGTACATCCATGACGATTAACGAATTATTGCTCGCGCAAGATATAATGTTATTTGATTCCGGTTCAAACGTTATAGAATTGACTCTGGACATGTGATCTAACGAAAATTCAATTACATTTGTCAATTGTATTGATGAATTTTGATGGGGGAGAAAAGAAAGTATTACCTTTAACGGTAAACCGAAGTTCGTACGAACCAAAATTCCACAAGTAAACTTCTCCATCCTCTGTACCAGTAGCTAGTAAAGTTTCATCTCTGAAAACAGAAAAAAATATACCATAGAGACTTTTTATGGAATATACCAAAATACACAGTAAAACAAGCAATCATCTAATTACTTTGACATACTAATACAGGTGACTTGAGCATCGTGATCTAGTTCGGCTACAAAACTCTCGGCAAGTTTCATCTTTCTATCCGAGTAGGGTCGCCAAATTTTGGTGGTGCAATCCCAAGAGCTCGATGCTATGACATTATGCTTTTTACTGTACAGCAGGCAAGAGACCGCATCGTTGTGTGCGTACAGTGTTTCGAAAACCTTTGCAAACTCCACGTCGTAGTAAATTCTGCAACGATTTTTCAATGACATGCGGTTGAAAAGTACAAATTATAAAAACAATAATTGACCTTACAGATAATTATCCGAAGTACCAACTACGATGACATTGGATTTCGAAGGCGTTTGATACGAAACACAAGAAATCAAGGGAACGGAAGACAATGCGATCCTTCGTGTCAATTTGCCAGTTTGCGGAGAATATATTTTCATAATGCCGTCACGGCCCACCGAAATAACGTCCTCGCTCTGTGCGTCATAACTTATGGTTGCTACCGCACTCACCGATTCCTTGTGCGATTGGAATACATATCTTTGTTTGAAATTTGGCATTTTAATTCCTGTAAAATCACGCCTCATTATTACATTTGAAAAGTAAAATAAAATTTTTTAAAAAAGTGAGTAGAGAACAAAAAATATATTCATCCTACCGGGTGATGATGAATGTTCCTGTGCTGAAAACAAGCTTTCGCTTTTGATTAGGTCAGCCACTACGAATCGCTTCGGATGAGGTACTTTGAATATTTGTTTGGGAATTTGTCCAAATTCCATGATTTGAACCTCGAGGCCGTGTCTGTCGTTGATATCTTTTATTGTGTCTAAATCGATGGCTCCTTCGTAACACAGATGGAAGAACACTATAAAAATGCATATATGTTTAATCGCATCAGAGCGAAACAAATTTTATTTATTTATAACGAATCACTGGAAAAAAATGACGATTTTACCATTATCCGCTTTGACTGCTTCTTCCCCCTTTTGCTTGTACCCAAAAATGAGGTCGATCCAGTGGTGCAGATTCTTCGAGACCCAATTACTTTCTAAGACTTTTCTCATCTTCCTTACGAAATCCGATGGATCTTGAATTTATAAATAATATGTTTTAACCATGTAAAAAATATATATTAACTGAAAAATAGTAAACAAAAAAATTTAACCTTTCGCCCAAGGTGGCAAATGCACATCGTTGATTTTCGTTCCGTCGTGCCGATAGCCGAAATCGATACCGTAACTGTTGACCAAAAAATCTCCGTTGTTGCTCGTATCGTAAAACTCCGGTATCAGTTCTTTGAAGTCCGACATGTTATTTAGTACATTTTTCCACACATCAGATAGACTATGAAAGTTGGTTTTCGATCAATGTTAATTTTTATTTATAAATATAGTACGAATCCAAATAATGATAGTACCTGTTAAACATTCTGTCAGGATGGTCGAACCTGCCATTTTGCAGGCACAGCATGTACTGCGGGTACTTTCTGACCAAATAAAAAAGCACAAAACCAGGGGCGCTGTAGTGTGACCCATACAAGAATTTCGGCTCCGACATCTCGTCGTACCGATCTTTCAATCTTTCCAATCTCTTGAGTTCTAACGCTCCAATGGGCTTACTGAGATCCCTGTAAATATTTGGGTTGTCAAAATCCAATGTGGTGGACGTGTAATCCTGAAGGACCCAAGGCATCACGGGATATTGCGTCAAATCGTGGAAAGTTCTATCCGCTATGCTGGATTGAAAAGTACGTACTTGTTAAAGACAGAAAATCAATGAGATTTCGTGGTATTTTTTTTTTTTTTTTTCATACCTATTGATATATAAAAGGTAATCATAGTTGGACAACGAGCCATTTTGCCATTGCATAGTCATTTGATTTTGATGCAACGTTTCGATTTTTAAGTCAAATTGGTTCAACATACTCGTGTACAATGCGTCTCTATCTTCCTGATTTTTTGTTGATAAAAATAAAAGCTCTGTTTTATTATCTGACGGCCGTGACCACTTTATTTCAAGACCCTATTGTGGGTGAAAAAAACATTAAATTTATCAATCATTGAATGTTTCAGATTAATTATTCTACAGACGGTTGAATATCTTACCACTTGGCGTAATAAAAATCGCCTCTTGATAACATTTTTTATGTCTTTCAAATTTATTTTGAGGACGGGATACTGGTCCATATTATTGTAAGGTTGAAAATAAATTCTACAGTTGGTAAGCAAAACTCTACCTGGGTTGATCACTAAGGGTGAGACTTTATTTGCTTGAGTCTCAATTATAATCTGCTCGTATAAATCTTCCAACCACGACGTGTCAAATGTAAATCTGGATTGTCTTGAATGGACAATTGCCATTATCTGTTAGTACAAACATTTTAAATGTACAATTTCATCTACAAGGTTTATAAATCATTCTAAATCTACAATTTCATCTTACCATAGCGTTTTGTTCGGCTGTTGGAAGAGTGGCAGCTCTTAAGAGCTGCAGTATCTGTGGAAGACAATCTTCTACTTTAGCATAGTTGAAGGAAAATTGAAAGTCAGCTGGTTGATGTATGAATTTATAAGGAGCAAGTATGTTTCCCTTGAACATTTCCACATACTGTTTACAGTGAACCAAAAGTGCATCGTTTACCCTTTCAAATATAATGAAAAAAAATCTTATTTTTACACCTGACCAGGAAAGATGTATATATATATTTGTACATAAATAATAAAAGTTCTCTCACTCTGTAAGGTTATTGTCCCAGGGAAGTTTTTCAGTGGACGTTATATCTTTGTGGGCAATTTTAATGAGCGGTTGATTAATGTCTTTGCTGACGAAAACTAAAGATTTTGAGCATAATTTTAATCGACCATCCAACCACTGATTTTCATCATTTTCGATATTTCCATCAATGAATTTCATTTGCACGCTGTAGTCTTCGAAAAAAATCTCTCCCGGATCCAATAAAAGCATTGTAAATCTAGATAAAGTGTTCATTTATTATCAAACAAACAAAAAGTCGAAACAATGTTACAAAAAAATTATCCCTATAATTGTAATTGTAAAAATTCGTAAGTATTTTACCTTATTTCCTTCGTCGTCGCCATTGTAATGTTATCATAGGCACACACTTGTGGTGGATTTAATAAATTATTACAGTATCACGAAGGAATAATAAACACACTTGCGTATGATTGTTGCATGAATAACTCGTTAAACTTGTCAAAGTGCATCAACGAAAAATGGTGAAATTGACACTTTTTCTGAGATATCGCCGTCATTAGGATATTTGAGCATTACACTGCACGCTAACTCACTAATAATCATCGTAAGATTAGATTTTTAAATAACGACAACCGACCAACGCTTGTAGATATTTTTATTTCTTTATATCGCAAGTACACCTGACACTCTCTCTCTGCTGACTACAGTTTTTAGTCTCTCTCATGTCATACAGTTGAAACGTTTGTGTATATACATATATTTACACCTATATATATATATATTGAGTAATGAGCGCAATAATGTACACATATTGGGATTATTTATTATCTAAACCTGATGTAGATGACGTCTTAAACTCTTATCTACTTAAATTACACGCTTTTAAAAACTTCATAAAAATTATTGAAAATGAAAACAATAATATAAAAATTCAAATAAAAATTATTTTTATTTCATGCAAATGCTTTGCAGATACAAAAAAAAAATATTTACAACTTTTTATTTACAAATTTCAACGTTATGTGTTCAACTTTTTTTACATTTTACAGTTTAAGATCTGATCTCAAAGCTAAGATTTTTTTAACTTCAGCCGAAGTCAATCTCCAAGCGATTGCATCTGCTCCGCAATAATCGGCCAGCTCTTCGGTTTTTTCGATACTTAAAACCGTAGCGATTTGTGTGAGCCTGACAAATTTATCTCGCACCGACCAGGAAGTTGCGGTGGACAAGTAAGCGGCCAATGACCGCACTTCTTTATCAAATATAAGACCACCAGCCTAGAAAAATTAGGATATTTATGTACACAGCTCCTTGAATTATATTGAAAAATAAATGATTAAGTCAATAAAATTGCCTTAGTAAAACTTGATTTAAAGACTGCTTTTTCCAAACGCGCAGTCAGCTCCACCGTGAGAATACTTATAAGTGCGTTGTAATTTGATTGAGTCAAGTGGTTTTTAAAGGCTTGCAAGAGGCCATCTAAATTCTTTACTAAAGTTTGAACGAAAGGCTCATCGGTATCGTATCTCAATAATTCGTCCTAGAAAAAAAAAACGGATTAAATTTTTGAAAAAAAAACTGTCGATTTCATATACTTACATCAGTGATTTGATGATTAACAGTTAAAAAGGTATCCACCCAAGGAGTCACCCTCGGTCTCACGGCACCGATTCGTAACTGCTCCATTCCATAATCTAAAACCGTTCTCAGAGTAAACGTCACATTTTTCATTCCCGCTAAGCAGCTTTCGATCTTTTCTTTCTCTTTTCCTTGCAAATTTGGAAAAGCTTGGTTTATATCCCCACTAAGGCTTTTACTCAATGTTTCTACATATTCTGTGCTCACTTCTGTGTTGTTCAAGTAAGCCTGCAAAATATTTTCAAGCATTAATGAAAAAGAAAAAAAAAGATTTTATTACAAGGGTTAAAAAAAGAGGTAAAATCTGAATGTACATTACCAAAAACATGAGCCGTGCGAGTTCCGTGTCGGATGTCTGAATACGACCGTGTTGAATGCTAGTCTGCAAAGCATTGTATGCTTGAGCCAAGTCCAAGTATCCAACAGGATACCCTTGCCTGAGTCGGCTTTTTAGTTGGTTGGCAAATTCTCCCTCGAGTAATCCACAAGCCATATTTATAACGGCGCACATGCCATCGATGCTTCCAGTTGAGATGGATCGCTTGATACACTTTTTAACAATGAAAAATGCATCATCAACCATACTCGATGTTTGCTGATCTTGATCCAAAGAATCCATGCCAATAGCCTTATGGACACTTTCTTCCATAAAATACCTCTCCAAAGCCAAATATACCCCAAGTAGTTCTTGCATACAGCGTGCTAATTCGGCATTTTTCATCATAGAGTTAAAATCGTTTAGTGAGTCTTCTCTTTGCTGAACATCGGTTGTACTGATTTCTAGATCATTCTGAAATTCAAAAAAGTATGAATTCAAATGTACGCTAACTTGTAAATCAAATTTTAATTTAGACAATAGTTATACACACCACCACTCGTCTCCTTAAAAATTTTATGTACAGTTCAGCTCTGGAATGCATCAGCGTTACTTCACTCAAAAGAAGATCTAAATCTTTAGGCTCGATCTTTTCGCCTCCCTGTTTTCTCGAAAAATCGTTAATTAACTGGGTTTTTCTTGGAATCGCTCTGTGTATCATGAACTCGGAAACAATTTTTTTCATTTGCCTGAAAAATTATTAAACAAAATGATAAAAAAATGGTGGCATTGAAAAAAAAAAAAAAAAAAAAACAGTTATCGTACTTGTCACATTCTTTCTGCAAAATTTCAATGCACGTAACCAATTTCCCGGGCCTGTAATAAGTTTCTATGATAGGCTGATGAATTTCAATGATCCTTGCGATTCCTTCAAAAAGCAAAGTTATAGTGTCGGCAAATATTACACCCGCTCTCTTCTCGTTGCTCTGTACGTTGAGCGCTGCTTTCAAATTCGTTTGTGCTGTTTTTCGAAGCTGCAAAAAAATTAAATCTCATGAAACACACCAAAAAAACTCTCCTGGCTTCCACGTTTCAATATCTACCTTTGAACACAAGTACTGGCAAAACCTGACGAGGCCTTCGCTGTGCATCCCCAGCAGCGGAAAAATTTTGAAAAACCTCTCCACGGAAGCAAGATCCTCAGCTTTGACTGCCTCGTCGAACTTTTGCGTAACTACGGTTCTGAGTTCATTGGCGGCTTGTTGCAAAGTAGCCAGGGAACTGGTCACACTCGTGTGATCCCCGGAAACATCGTCAGCGGTTTTTTCCAACAATTGCTGGTCCATCAGAAGAAAACGGTGCACGTGAGCCGCACCTTGCTCGTAATCCTCGTTTCGAAGAGCTGTAGCAACACCTTCGCTGCACAACTGCAGATCGAGGATGTCGTTGACGCGGCTCTGGCACTCGCATACCCGGCTCTGAAAAACACACCCGTCACAATCGAGTACTTATAGAAAAGAAAAGAAAAAAGAAAAAAAAGCACTTAAAGTGCAGTTGTTATAAATAGAAGTAACTTACTCTGGCGAGATCCAGCTGTCTGACTTTCGCGCTGACCTTTTCTGCCAGTTTGTTGGTGTGCTCGATCATGTCCTGAAACTTTTCGGCCTCCGAACGCACTACGGCGACGTTCGGCAACACCTTGCCGATGGTCTGGAGCTTGGCCTCGATGTGGCAGTGACGCGCAAGTATCTGCTCCAGCTGTTTGTCGACGGCGACCTGTTTGTTTATTGTCACAAAAGTAACCCCATCGTTTAGCAAACGGTATAGAGAAATAACATACAGATGAATACAGAGTATTTGGCTGCCAGTTTATCAGTTTCGTCAGAAAAACACAAGGCTCTTTCTTACCTGTTCATTTTGCAACTTGTTCAAGATAGCCGTCAAGTTTTCGTCTTTCGTCGGCAGATCCTGGAGGACGCTCATAATTCTGTCACGATCCTTGCTTACGCATACACACGTGTATCAGAGTATATTGTGATTTATGAAATTATGATATTTATGACGCGCATTTATACTTATTATATACGATCATCTGATCAACACAACACAACCACTGCACATTCATGCACTAGCAGCCGACGCTGTGGCTCTCCAGCGGCTGCTTTTTTTACTGTGTATATATATACATGCAGAGAGAGAGAGAGAAAGGAGGCCTCTGGGTTCTCTCTCTTCTTCTGACAACAAGCAACAAGTGCGAGTGAGAGAGAGAGAGAGAGAGAAAAAAAAGAGCATACGAATTACGAAAGTTGGCAGGAGCGAAAGAGATGATAAGAGTGCCCGAGAATATATAAATATCGTGCGTTGGACAAGGATAAAAATCGTCCTAGTGGGGTTTTTCGGAACGTATATATGCAGCATGGAACACACAAGATAAAATATACAACATCGTAGTGATCGGAGTCACTTTTAGTCCCCCGCGGCCCCGCGAGTCGTGAGTCTCGTATATCCTAGCTCCCGTGTGTGGGCGGGCGGCGCGGACGGAATAGAATAGAAAAAAGAATAGGAGAAGGGAAGGTGTGCGGGAGCAAATAGCATATCCATTACTCTATCACGTAAGTATTGTGATAAATTATTATTATCCGTCGACTTAAACCCGATGCTACCTTTTATATGAAAAAATCTCTATGTATACTTGTAGCTTTCCGAAGAATTGGATAGTATAGCTAGATGGCCATCACCTAGGAATCTAGGATTCGTCGTTTCTCCTCCGTCTGTCCGCGTCCCGTGTGGCGTGCAGAGCCCGTATATTAGGCAATACACACAACAAACGTCTAAGATGCTGGTGAAACAAGATCCGGAGTCGACCGTGTCGACGGCGCCGCTTTTCATCTGTAGCTCCTCCTCGTCCGCCACCTCGTCCTCGACGTTACACCGCATTAAAATGCCCAGCGCTCAGGAGCAGGAGAATGAACCCCAGCTCAACAATAATGGCCATCTCCACAAGCAGCAACAACAGCAACAGCAAAAACAGCAGCAGGTCAAACGGAAATTTGCTGCCGGCAAGCTCCGGGTGGGCACTGCCGTCATCAACAACAAAATCACCGAGTACTTCCAAGTCCGACGGAGCGAGCGCAAGTGCAAGCGCGCCGTACTCGAGGAGAAACAGCGTGACCTCGAAAACAAGGTCCGCTGCAGCTCCGAGGACGGACTCCAAGTACGTCAGTTCTTTATTTGCTGCATAGTTATGTGTGTGTCCATCCCACACACGCACATCTCTTACACATTAGACCTGTATACGAATTGTATCTACATCTACTTGTATTCATCTATTTTTATTTTGTCAATGATGTCGAGATTTCGTTTCGTAGCTGATCTATATGACAGTCTTATTGTAGTTATCTTTGGATTATCAATTTTTTTATTTTTTCCCCCTTATCAGGTCAGGTGTTTCAATGGAAAGGGTCGAGGAGTCATTACGACGAGAAGTTTTGTAAGAGGGGAATTTGTTGTGGAATACATCGGGGAGCTCATTGATCTGGTGACGGCCAAAAAGAGGGAAGCCAAGTACGCCAAGGATCTGAATACTGGCTGCTACATGTATTATTTTCAGCACAGAAATCAACAATATTGGTTTGTTTCGTTGCTCGTTTTTTTTTTTTTTTTTTTTTTTTTTTGGGTTTAAAAAAAATTTTTTCCCCTCCTTTTTTTTTAATTTTTTGGGGGTTTTTTAATTAAGTATATATAGACCAAATTGTGAGTTGCCGTCAGAGATATGTGCTCTGGCTCGCCTCTGACGTTATAGTCAAGTGCGCGGCTCGGTTTGAATGATTTGCTACGTTGAAANTTTTTTTTTTAATTGATTATAGGTTGCAGTCAACAAATTTTTAATTGAACATTTTTTCGACAGTATTGATGCCACAGCTGAATCTGACAAACTTGGCAGGCTGGTGAATCATTCGCGCAACGGAAATTTGTTAACCAGAATTGTTGAAATTGGCGATACGCCACATCTTGTTTTAATAGCAAAAGAAGACATACCTGCTGGTAAAGAAATAACCTATGACTATGGGGATAGGAGTCGGGAATCCATACAAAACTATCCATGGTTAGCGTCTTAGTATAAATAATTATGACTGTTAGATTAATTTTTTTTTTTTTTGTATTATAGTTTGATAAAATTATTGATATGTGATTTTTATGATATTTTTGTCACCGCAAATGAGCTTACACACAAGTAAACCATGTTCAAACTATTTCTACCTTTACTGCCGAAATTGCTGTGTTTTTGTGTATTGGACATTATTTTCAAGCTGTTACATCCAGTATGAATGAAATGAACTGAAACTTTTAATCAAACAGCGTGATTGGACGACATGTATCGTCATAAGTTATTTTCTACGAGTTGACTATTCATGGTGATTGTGGTAAACAAATTATTCGTTAATTTAAGATATATATTATACATAATTCATTCATGACACACGCAAATATACCTTACGCATGAGTACTGGTAATTTTTGTTGTTAGTTTCTTTAATCGTCAGTAGTAAGGTCTTGTAAACGATATTTAATAACAATAGTTGAACAATCACTGCTATACATTTTACTAAAAAGAAATGTAGTATTAGCATTTTGTACAATCGATTATTCTTCCAATCTTTACATGTCAATAAGCCTATGTAAAAAATTTGCTTTTTATTTTGTCTATGAACTGTTTGTTCCATCAAATATACCGTAATGTTCTGGAATGTCATAGTCTTATTAATAATTTAATTAAAATTTATAGAAAATTTTATTTATGGCGTATAAATGTAAAATATTTTGCTGTAAATAATTTCCGATTACCGATTTTGAAACTAGTGCTGCAGAAGAGATGCGCAGACGAGTATGCGCGGTAACGGTGATTTTTTTTTTTTTGCGACGACGAAACGGCGGGAATGAGGGAGAGCTCAAGAATCAGAACTGTTATTGACTTTATTGGTTAACTTAGGATCGAGCGGTTTAAAGTATAATACAATAAAAACATAGTAAAGCCAAAAAAATGGTGAACTCAAAAACGACGAGGAGTAATTCAGTTACCAGTGAAAAGTGTACAAAGGCATTGGTTGATTCAGAAAAACAATTAAAAAAACGAACTCCGAAGGCATCAGAGTGCCGACCCCCTGATCAAACTATTGAAAAACTCGGAGACTCATGCACAGTTGGAAAACAAGTTTTGACGACTTCCAAGCAAGGAAGCACGAAAACAAGAACAGAAAATGTTGCTAATGAGAAAAAAAAGGTGAGTAAATACGACAATTAATGTATGTGTATATACGCGTTATGTAATGGGAGCGGTATATCTATATATAAATATTTACATGTACTCTGTCGATAACATCTTACAAACTACAAATATTAAACAATAACCAGGTGAAGCATTAATATCAATCGAACAGGAGCTATTTATTTTCCTTTTTTAAACCACCTTCAATCGTATATTGAATCGTTCGGAAGTTAGTAATTTTTCAGTTTTTTTACCATTATCCCGCGAAAAAATTTGAATGAAATTTCGTGCATCAAAAAAAACAATTTCATCCTACAAGAGTATCCATAACACACAATTAATTACTTTTCATATTACTGACATTATCGGCTGACGCATCCATAATTAAATGAACGGTATTTATAAACAATGTCAAGGTCAAGGCAGCTGTTCAGAAAACTACAATCGTTACGTCTGACAGTGAAGAATCACTCAAAGAAAGTCAAAATGATTCTTCAAACTGTACCAAAGGAAGTTCCCCCACTCACAAACTTTGTAATAATTTTTCTTATCTTAACGTTGATGATGGCCTTAAAAAACCACAAAGTATTCAACAAATTTCAAAGAAGAAACAAGTAAGTTTGTGAATGCCGTAGTTTTCCTCTTGATCAATGCTATGTTAATAATATTTTTTCATCAGTCTAAAAATGACCAGAAACCTAGTGTAAAAAAATCTTCAAGATTGAATAAAAGTAAATCGGAAAGTGACTTGTCCAATCATAAGATTACTGATTATTTCCAAGTTCGTAGAAGTGAGAGAAAGGAATCAAAGGATATTTTTTACGAAAAACAACAAGATTTGCAAAATAAAATCATAAAAAAAGTCAGAGATGGATTACAGGTAAATGAGTCTTTTTTACATAGTAAGTTGTTGTAAAATCTCAAAAAAGTGTTGTAATATTTTTGATCTTTAAAGATTGAAGAAATTAAAGAAAAAGGCAGAGGTATAATCACCACGAAAAAGTTCAGCAAAGGGGACTTTGTAATCGAATATATTGGTGATCTCATAGATGGAGCAACCGCCAAACAGAGAGAAATGAAATACGCAAAGAATAAAAAACTTGGTTGTTACATGTATTATTTCAGACACAAGGATATTCAGTGGTGGTAAGTCGATTTAGCATGGAGGTTCAAATAATTCAGTTACTCTAAATTGTATATTTCATTGCACAGTATCGATGCCACCAAAGAATCGGGTGAACTGGGCCGGTTGATTAATCACTCAAGAAAAGGCAATCTCATCTCGAAGATCATTGATGTAGATGATAAACCACGTTTGGTTTTTTTCGCCAAGGCAGAAATACCTATTGGCACTGAATTGCTGTACGATTATGGTGACAGAAATCGAGAAGCATTGAAACACCACCCATGGCTTGCCTTGTAACTATTTTTCATCAGCTTTTTCCTGTTGTTGATATAAAAAGTATAATCTTACATAAATAAGCTATGATTGCGTGGTTTTATCGTAGGAAATTGTTATATAGTTTTTTACTTAAATTATTTCCAATTTTTTTTAAATTTATTTTGAAAAACACTGTTGAGTAGCGGTAGCTGAAAAATAATTTTAAAAATGAATAAACACTTTTTTCATTTTGAATGAGCAATAATTTTATTTACAAGAATGTTTGTTACCATAAGTTTTATCTATCGATGGTAAATTGTACTTCCAGTTTAGTAAATTCAGAGCATCTTCAAAATATACAGAACCATCGTCAATCAAACTCAATTCATTCAACAAAAATTCAAACAAATCTCTGTTCACAATTATTCTAACTTTTCTTAAAGTTTCATAAAATTTATCCAACTTGACCCGCTCACCTCCGGAATTCTGGAAAAAATGATCAAAAAAAATATCAGACCCGTACAAATATCGGCATGGCTTAGCCTTACTTTTGTTATGCAGTGAAAATGGTCCTTCAGTTGAAAAAAACAAACTTCGAACTCCCTCTTTTTTATTTGCAGTCGGACCCCATTGATATGCGCCAAACATCTCTTCATTTTGACAATCTTCGGATCAACCGAAGTTTCGTGAAGAATCTCGTAAATCCCAACGGAATCGCGCTCTTCAAATCGATCAATGGCGCTGCTTTCAACGTAACCATTGCTCCTCACTTGCTGGGCATTTCCTTGTGGCTGCGAATCTTTAAACCAGTAAATCAATCCCTTCGCTTTACCACCGCTCGAATCGGCTTGACACTTTTTCCCAAAGGAATCGTACTTGTCGAACGGCTTGTCGTACCTGAAAATCACCATTTTTTTTTTGTTTTCCATTTAAAAACATCGCTTTTTTAGTCTATTCCCCGTCCGCGTAAGTACATACCCTCGCTCAATCTGACTCCCCGGCTCCTCTTGGACATTTCCGGAACTACTGTAATCTTCGCGCAGGATTTCGGCAACAGTTATTCCTTCATCGAACACACAGTTTTATACTTTCTCACAGAATTCCTCATGTCGTAACATAATTGAATGAAAAAAAAAAAAAAATCAAAACCCACCTTGTTTTTTCGGATATTTACAGAAATAGTCGTCGTCGAGCGCGCGTCGAGTATCCCTGCTTCGACTACTTTGTATTATATTTGTCCTGATTTCTGCCATCAACTCCTGAAACCTCGTCATCGCTTAAAACACTATTTCGTGCTCTCGTTCAAGTTGGATTGATATTTATATCTCAACGTTAAAAGCGTGCCAAAGGGGGAAAAAAAGGCTGTTCCGATCCCGATTAATAATTAAGTATGCCCTGCTCTCTGCACACAATTTGCAACATTCGTTAAAAATTACAGTTGCACCTGTTATTGTCGGGTACAATTAATTGTTGCGTACCAATAATTTTGAACGGTTATGCTTACATGTAGAAACAAAAAATCCAAGCGTATGACACTTCCGTCATGAACGGCGCAACGAAACAAAACACCGAGAGAAGAGAAGGTTTTGCAACGCTCCCAGTGAAAGAAACGAAATACTTACTTACCCAAAGCTGTGGGGTGCCGTAGTTGTATACACTTCACAGATATCGAATACATATAGAGCCGCTCGGCCAGTACGAGGTATTAGCTCAATATTCCGTTTTTTTTTTTTCTACTCTCGTAGGTGTAATTTTCACTCCTAAATACAGACTTGCAAAAGCTGCTTTCAGTTTTCTCGAGCTAATATAAATTTCGACAACAAGTACTCTATTTTTTTTTTTTTTTACTCTCCTGCGGACAAAAGTTATTTAACACCCGCCAGTAGGTGTTCCGATATCTTCGACGAATCGTAAATTGTACTTGAATGTAAAAAAATAGAGACACACGTGCAGGTATTCTTGTAGTGCGTATATAAAATCGGCATTGCAGGCGGTACTTAAAAGAGGAGGACAAAAAAGCACCTAATGAGTTGAAGAACCATAATTGGCCAGTGCTTTGACGGCGTGTGTATATGTATGTATTCATACGGAGGAAAACTGGTTGCATTTCGCAAAACTATCGGGAAATCCCCCCCCCCCCGACACGCGTCTCGTTTTCAATTTTATTTCAGTCACGCGTGTTTGTTATTTTTCCGGATACTCTTTTTTTTTGCATCTGATTGATCACATAAACTCGTTAATATGGTAACGAGTTCTACCGAATAGGATTTGTACATAGAGCTGCAGCTTTTATCAAGTGAAAATGCACTGTTTGAAAAAATTTAACGTATACTTTGGTTGAAGTCTCTCTGGAGTGGAGGTAGCCCAAATGGGAAATCTACGGCTCCTCGAATTCCTTGAGACTATAACTATGGTGTTGTGTGACATCGGAAATAATAAAGCGAAAACAACGTTTCCAATGCTCTCTTCCCTGCAACTAAAACCAAGGCGAAGCTGGAACCTACGTACATTACATTTATTTTGATATAATATACATTTTGACGCAATGATAATTCTTCGGATTCTCTTGACCCGATCTTTTTTCATCGGATGAAAGTAAAGCGCGTGGCCCCACGGACAAAACTGGAAACGATCGAGCGCGACCCGCAAAAATCTCTTCGTTTCCATAATGTTGATTTCCTCCGTCTCATCATTTTTTCGTCGTATCTGCATAATGTATAAATTTGTATGCCTATGTATATACTCACCTAACAGCCCGATAGATAAACTTGTCCTGTACCACTTGGGCGGAAAAGAGAGAGCCATTGGGCTGTGTGTATGTACAAAAATACTTGTGGAAACTTATTTTCCACGCAGTAAAAGGCATGAAATTGGCCAAAAGATGCGTTTTATCCCTCTTGCCGTGGCTGTTTGCCAATCCACCTGAAATTCATTCCACCGGCGCTTACTTCATATTTTGCAACTAATTACATTTTACCGATTTCAGATCGGCACGTTTGCGTCGGCGGTGATGGGAAATTACGCAATTACCACACAGGCCATCGTTCCTTGTGAAAAAGGGGGAGGGGGTTTGATCTTTCAGTAGCTACCCACGCAAAGGAGAGAAGCGACCGATTCGCAATTATGTGTACCATATCGGCTTACGTTGATATAATATACCGATCGGATTGTATATACATGGGTCATTTTACGAAAAATAGTGAAATTGAGTTTTTTTTTGTCCAAGTTACATTGGGGTCTAAAAAAGCTTGAAATTTTCGGGCTTAAGTCTATTATTGATAAAATTATTTGTTTTGTTTTTCATAAATATAAAAAAATGAACCACGGCGAAGAAAAGAGTTTGATAAAGTTGCCATTACAAAGATTCTCAAATAAAAATTCAGCTTCGCCAGCTATGAAAGCACATGTATACTTATCGTATGTATAATTTCAAACTATGCTAATAGATGATCTATAGGTTGCGGTACTTTATGCCAAAAAAGAATAAAAATTCGACATTTCTAAAATACTAAACAGTCTAATCCGAGCGTCCAAGAGTTCACCGTGTGTAATTTATCTACATTAGGGGCCATCGCTAAAACGACGCGTAATAATGGAGAAAAAAATTTTATGGGCCGAAAAAAAGCTTGTCACATAGACAAATAAAAAAAAAATATTGAGCAGAAAAAAGTGAGGCATTGAAATGTGACAACCCAGTCACTTCGGTGATGGCATTTTCTTTCATTACTTTTTTTTCGAAACAAATACTCCAAAAAAAAAAAAATCGTGACGTGAAACAATTGAATATTTGAAGTTGTACAACTAGTTTCTGAAACTTTACGTAAAATGATCCGTGTACACGTCCAACACCTTACATTTACATAAACGCACACACATATCGGGTACACGTACAAAGATTTTACGAAAACGAAACGAGAGACGAGAATTCCCTCTCCTACCGATGCCGAAGCCAAGTAGCTCTTCTTCTTCTTCTCTCTTTTCCTTTCTCTTTTTTCATCGGTTATGTTAGGTACAAGCACTCTCATTGCTACTGCATAAGCCATATCCATAGCTTCATTTATTGAATTTCATTATATAAACAGTCTTACAGCTGAGGAGTCGCATTTCAAAAGGAAAGGTTCACCCGTACAGTACCCTCCTCTTCCTCGTAAATGTAAAATATCCACCCGCGCACATAGACTTTTTTTCTTCATTTTTTCCCAAACTCGAAGATTTCAATCAGATTTTCAATTAAAAAACGAAAAATCTCTTCGATTGCGAAATTAAAATTCCTCGCGTGTACAAGTATTATACGGTGATGTTTTTTTTTTTTTTTTTTTTTTTTTTCAATCGGCTCCGATATCGTACATGGGCACTTATGCTAACGACTCGCCATAATACGTATAAGTACGCCCATACAACACATCCACTCGGGTGAAAGCTTCTCTAATGTTATACACCCAACAGGTACAAAATCAATTAAGCGGATGCTTAGATATATTATACCCCTTGGGTTATCTACCTTACGACGTTAATTTGTAGAGTTTTATTCCTCGCGCGCTACATTGGAATCCTTGGGTCGAAATGCGTGTCTATCATAAATATATACAATGCCCTCTATATCACAGAGACGCGTGATTATGAGCGCACGTCTCGTCGCGAGAGAATCCATAGATTCGACGAATGCAACAATAGGCGTGTATTTTATCATTTTTCTCGAACTTATACACACACGCGTGTACCATCAAACAACTTACGTATATGTAAAACAATGAAAAGAGAAAGGGAGAAAAATAGTCCAAGATAATCAATTTCATATAATTACACTATACACTTATTATGCTTATAGGTTTTTTAATATTCGTCAGGTGGCTTTGTTGACACTCTCGATTGATTTTATTTTTCTGAATTATTTTCATGCAAAAAAATATGTCTTTACTGCCTACGACACGTACCTACAAGAATCTTCAAAATAGCCAACAGATGAGGCAACCTGTACATATATGATATACACAAATGTTTTGTACTAAACAAGAAATTCCCATAACAACGAAACGTGCGAGTCTATCGAATAGTTCGTAGGTGTAAGTATATTGTATGCCCATCATCTCTCGAGAACTATCGTTTTTCTCATGGAGCGAACACGCGCGCGTGGGCCATAAAACACGCGGGTAAACCTATTATTTTTCCTGTGTCCA